CAAGCAATAAAACAACAATACAAGCAATTAAAAAACATAGACAATAAGATAAACAACATTATCAATAAAACAGCACACAATTAAAAACAGAGGGGAGGCCACATGTAAAGTTAAAATTGGAAATATGCTGGGACATGAACAGAAGATGATACTGGTGTTAGTGAAAGGGCATACGAGCAGACTTAGAAAATGTAAATAATGATCCCATAGCACTTTGGAGGGCAAAGTGCTATGGGATCATTATTCCAGGAAGGCACACTGGAACAGCCACGTCTTCAAGTCCCTCCCGAAGACTGCCAAAGTTGGAGCCTGTCTGATGCCTTTAGGGAGTGAGTTCCAGAATCGAGGGGCCTCCACCGAAAAGGCCCTCTCTCTCGTCCCCACCAATTGCTGCTGCGATGCTGGTGGGATCGAGATCAGGTCCTCCCTGGATGATCGAAGAGATTGTGTGGGTTCGTATACAGAGATGCGGTCACGTAGGTAGGCGGGTCCCAAACCGTTCAGGGCTTTGTCGGTAAGAACCTGCATCTTGAATTGGGTCCGGTAGATGAAAGGCAGCCAGTGGAGCTCCTTAAACAGGAGGGATGACCTCTCTCTGTAAGGAGCCCTGGGTAACCACCTGGCTGCCGCCCGTTGGAGGATGTTAAATTTCCAGGACAGCCTCACATAGAGTGCATTGCAGTAATCCAATCTAGCGGTGGCCAGATCCATGTTTTGGTCAACTGGAAAGAGATAAAAATGGTTATTATAATACTGTCTGAAGAGATTAATTTATTCTTAATTACTTAAAATGAAGACAAGTGATTCCAAAGAGAGAGAAGGGTTCTGCTTCAATTAACAAGGAGTAGTGGAAAGGTTTACATATTTACAACTTTATACAGGGTGCAGCAGCATAACTTCCTTTTTTTCAAAACTTAATAAAACCCGTTGTATGAATCAGAAAAAAATTATAATGTAGGCACATACACTGAGTAAACTGATTTCTGGCGTTTGTCATGACTCTTGCCAGTATAGCAGGTGTTATGTTGGCAATTTCTTCCTGGATGTTGGTCTTCAAATCTTGTAGGGTTTTTGGACAGTTCACATAAACACGGAATTTCAAAAAACCCCACAGAAAAAAATCACAAGGGGCCAAATCTGGCCTTTTTAAAAGGAAGTTATGCTGCTGCACCCTGTATATAGATCATGTGCCCACCAATCCTATGAACCAGAATTCCCTCCACAAACTTCACGGCTAAACCCATCAAACTGCTCATTTGAAAGCACCTGAAGATTCAAACGTCCATACTGAGCAGCACTGCACACTGTACACTATTCACATTTGGAACTCAAACATCCCAAAGCGAAGAGAGTTATGGCAATATTAAGAGTGTTAACATTTAATAGTAGTAATAGTAGGAATAGCTTATCAAGATTCATGCCATAATATTCATGCCCTCCACATTTTGTGAATTTGATTATTTACAGATTTGATTAATGTGTTATTTTTAGGAATCTTTATATCCTCCAGTGTCGATGTTGACCACACTGGAGGTCTGGATGATGAACATTTCTAGCAGCATCTGGGTCATGCTGGAGAATGTGAAGATTCCTACAGGGGTGTTCTCTTAGGAAAAAAAAATAGTGGTTCTTTTTAATCACAGCTTTCCCACTTTGCCCCCTTGAAAGTGGAGGGCCTGTTGTACTTTGTTTTGTGGTTGGTCATTGGAAAGTAAACATGGGTTTAATTTGGTAGGATGACGGATGAGGCAAGAAGCTCCAAGGAAATCCCATTGTTAAGAGGAAAGTCAATTAATCTTTGGGAATAAGCATTCATCTGAATGTCAGGTTTGACCCCAACTCCACCTGAAGAAAAAGCTGCTGTGTCTGTGAATAGGCAATGGGAAGGTCTGCAGGAGAGCATTAAACAATTAAAAAAAATGTCAATGTATTCTACTTGTGAACCTCCTTGCTGCTGTAGGTTGCTGCCCCATTTTCATCTATTTCCAAGGGTGAGAAATCTGTGGTCTTCCTGATCTTTCCCTTTGCAAAACCCAACTGCACCTATCACTCCAAGCTATTCCTCATTCCTTCTGTCTCCAGTTATTCATACCTGAGGAGTTACAGTATATCCATCTGGGATCCTCGTTGTAGTTGCTGGTAAGAGAGCACCAGAGTTTCCCACTGGATTCTCCATCTGCTGTACAAGACCAGTATGATTTTCCATTGTAGGTAAAAGGGAAAATACAGGGTTGGTTTGGACCTAGTCCTAGAAAGGGTAGAGAAAAGAGTGAAAGGGGAACTAGAGATTGAGAGATTTTCAAAAGAATTCTTATGACATCTCTGCTGGAAAACATTTCTAGCATCCAGGAAAAATGTGTTCTCTGTTTTGTTTTGTTTGTTCGTTCGTTTGTTTTTGAGAAATAAAGAATTGTAAATTCTGGAAGCAGAAAGTTGTTATTTGTATTATGAACTTACGACAACTTGGTGGAAGAATATATTCTGCTCCTTCTATTTCTAGCCTCTGTTTCTCTTTCTAGAATGAAAACTTTTCCCATGAGCTCATTTTGTTGGCTCGCTGTGTTATCAACATTGGTTCTGGAGACAGTCTGTGTCAGGACCCAAGGCTGATTTCCAGTTAAGGCAAAAGTCACTTTTCTTTGTTTTGTGAATCCATATTCATGCTGTGGCACACTCAAATGTGATAGATCAGAGAGGGACAAAATGTTTCAAGATGTTTCTAGGGTGGTGTGCAACACAACAACAACAACAAAAACCCTATATCTTTGCCCCACATGCCCCTGGAGCAGAGGGGCATTTCAACCACATTCCCTTGGCCAATTTAGCTGCAGGACAGATCCTTCTTGAAACATGAAATTAAGAAGAATGACTTCAGCTCACTTCCTTAAAAAGAGGCTCCTACTGGAACTAAAATACACTGGGGGCATGGGCAGGGAATAATTATTAAACTTTTGTGTGGGAGTTGATTTTGTTGCCCTCCAAAATTTCCTGGGAACCTAATATGGTCCCCTCAGCCTAGGCCTTCTACAGAAGGTAGCACAGTGAAGAGGTTTGGAGATCTAAATCCTTGCTCAGCCATGAAAACCTCTGGGAACTGTGGGCAACTTGCACTTTCTCAGCCTCTAGTGACAGCATTGCTAAACCTTTTTTTTTTTGAACAAATCTTGCCATGAAATCCTTTGATAGGGTTGCCATAGGTCAAAATTCTGTGAAAGCACATAACAACAAACCTTCCACAGTCTGCCCTGTGCTAGAAAGAGCTTTCTAGAATCAATGTAATAGTCAAAAACTATTACTAATTGATCTTGATCCAATTCTGTCTGTGGACATTAACTCACACTTGTCTAGCACCAACCTCCTTTTGACTGCACTGTGTAATATTTTTGCATGAGTTCCTAATGTAGTATGTCCTAGGTATCTTACTTGTATCAGCACAGTAGCTCCACTGCTTGTCCTTGTCATAGTTCCCAGTTGTAGCACACCAAAATCGTCCATCAGAATTATTTTTATTGGTGCAGGTATTGTATATCGTCCCATTATAAATGAAAGGAAAGACGCAGACCTTCCCTACTGAGTTCCCTTCATACTCTGTAGATGTAAGGAATGGAAAGAATTAAGTGAAGTATGCCATCAGCTGATAAATAATTTTTGTGAGCTGTCTTCAATTCCAATGAAATAGTCACAAAACAACAATTCGGGTTGTCATAAACGTAAGCAGCTGCTCACTTCTACATGTTAGCCTGAAAACATCTAATTTGAGACATGTTATTAGACCATCTCTCTGCAATGAACCCTTGCTATGCCTCTGTTTTTAGCAAGTAACACAAGCAAGATCCTAATCAAGATAACGAATTAGTTAAAAGTGAGTTATACAGATAAGAAAATAAGATAATAATGTGCACCAAAGCAGGTTTGGTCAGGTATCACATGAAAAGTGAGGTGATGTTTGAGATGGACAGATGTGGTCTTAGCTCAACTGGACCTTGTGGACTCTAACACGGTGCTGCAATAACTTCAGCTGAGTGCATCTGGCACCAGATTTCTTAGCCGCTTCCCCTAAGTTAGGTTGCTTGATTCTACATATGTAATTATCATCTTGCTTGGACACACACACACCAAAACCGCTTTTAAACATTTAGCAATTTATATGTGTCATTCTAAAAGAGTATTACTAGGCCTCATAAATATGAAGAATCACAGGGCTGCAAAACCGTAACTACTTTCTATGGGGATGCTGATAATTAAGACTGTTGCAAAGTTACTGTTAAACTTTGTGCTTCTGGATATTGGAAAAGTAAACTCTCAAAGCTTTTCTTTGTATTGTTTAGTAGAGCTAGGTCTCTAGAGATAAGCGTGAAAACAGGAATACTTGGTTACAGCACTCAAGCTGGGCAGACAAATATGTCAGAAAGTTGATTACTGTTCGCAACCTATCAGCAAATATCCATATACAGTAGGGCTTCCACTTTTGAAATGGGTTGGGTACTCAGTCATTCATGACTACTGGAAGTTCACCATAGTCATACTGAAGAACCTACAAATATCTAGATCTACCAATGCAACTCTATGGTCAACCTCTGGCAGAMGTTGACCATAGGGTCACACTGGAGGTGCAAAACATTACTGTTTAGAGAGAGAGAGAGAGAGTTCACCAAAGTTAAACCCTCAAATGTGACTGCTGACTCACTGTATGYTTTTTCTATCCATCCTATAACCTGAAMAATTCATTGCAAATAGTAACTATTTGGAACATTTAACATCTCATAGTAATCATGCAGGAATAGCCTAAGGTAGTTTATTAAACAGTATTGCAGAGGAAATCATTTAGCAGCAGTGCAGAAGCATCAGGAAGGCGTCTGTAATTTGAAAAAGAACTTAGTGAACACAGAAAAGTTCTRAGCACACTCTTACCTTGAATAGAACATGCCTTCCATTTGCTATCCCTGTCATAGTTATTGGTGGTGGCACACCATAGCTGACCATCATCAGTGCCTTCCGGGGTGCAGGCAGAGTACRATTTCCCKCTAAAAATGAAGGGGAACACACAAGGACGTGGTTCTGAAATAMGAAACATAAGRCATGGGAAGAAAGAATTTCTGTTAAAACACCTCAYGTGGGAATATCCAAKGTCCCTATCTYGGRAGMAAAGCAGGATAGAAATAAATAACTAATAATATGGTTGACTATAATGATGAGCATAGGGGAAAGGTCTCTGCATCCTTGTGTCACAGTTCTCAGCCAGATCAGTTTGTATATAGTAAAAAAATGGAGCCAGACCAATATGACTATTATTTTAATTTAAAATTCAATAGGAATTGAAATTGGTGCAAGGATGGAAAGAAAAGAATGAGTATGTTAATGTATATTATGTCATGATGAAATTAATAGGGTTCTGTATGAGGCAACAGAAACAACCCCCTTTTCAGCAGAAGCTCGTCCCCTCTGGTTTAAGGAGCAGACATACACCACTTGTCTTTGAGGTAGATAAGGCTTTATACAGGGAATATTGACAGTATAGCAGCAGAACGGGACTCTTCTCAAACTCTTTTTCCAGACACTCCCAAGTAGTTGAAACCTCCTTCCTTGTATAAGGCTTTGACTGGTCTTATTCTTCAATTATTCTTTATCTTTGCAGTTTTCTTTCCAACACCAACTCTTCATCAACCCATCTCCTTCAAAACACCAACCCTTGACAACAGAGAAGCTTTGTGCTACTTTTACAGCTGTTCCATCCTTGTTGTGAATTCCATAAAGCTAACCAGGTGGCTTAATTCTTAATTTTTATAGTATGATTGGGCTTGATCCGTATGCTTACTTACACTTTCGTATAGTTACTTTAAAATTCTGACATATTACTTGTGTAATTGCGTAAGAAAAGAAATAGAATTGAGTAGTAAAAAGGAGAAAAACAAGGTTCAACACAGAAGTAATTTATGCTGTAACCTCCTATTTCTGTGGATGGCACATAAGAACAAGAGGAGGAGAGAAGAACTTCAATGATAAAATACACAGGCAAAAGCAGTGTCAACTATAACCCACATCATATATACGCTATGAAGAAGACGAGGCCACCATCTGGAAGCACCTTGTGTGTTTTCTTACCTGAAGGATCACAGTATGTCCACCTGGGATTTCTGTCATAGTTCCTGCTGAGAGAGCACCAGAGCTTTCCAGTGGATGCCCCAGCTGTTGTGCAAGATGAGTAGGACTTTCCCTTGTAAATAAAAGGAAATATGCATGGTCCGTGATCATTGGCAACTAATCCTGAAGAGATATAAAGGAGAGGAGAGGGAAGAAAGAGAGAGGCATATCTTACAGAAGTTTTCTTTTCCATTTATTAATGCCCCACATGGAGAAATCCTGTCTTCTGTCCTGTAGCAGACCAGAAGATACCACACTAGGGATGAGAACTTAGATTAATACTTCTAAACCAATGATATTTCCCCAAATTACACTCGGTAGATGGGTCCCCCACTTCTGTAGCCACAATAATTTAATTTTCTTCATTTACTTTGCTCTTTAGACACATTTCACTGGTATATATAGTGGTCAGGAGTGTTTGTACTAAACCAAGGAAAAGTATGAAGAAAGTGCTTATGGTTAGTTCCTTTATATTTCCAAAACATGTCATAGCCATTCCTCTTCTATGCCATGTTATGGATCATGTTATCTGATTTCATAAGTATAGAAGACAGTGACATATATTGCGGTACCAATAGTTTCTATAAGCCAGTACAGGCATTATATGATAAAGTGTGCAAGGTTTTATCAAGCCCTACTGAGATTCCAGAAACATTAGAGCTCGAGAAAGTGGTCAATGAATGTTGAATGGGAAATTTGAAAAATTCCAATATCTGCAGGATATGAACTGGTTGCCTCAATTGTGTCCTCTATCAAAAATCACATCTACACTGACACTTAAGTCAAACTGGGGTGAATCAGCTTCATGAGAGCTAAATACCATATGAAATATCATATGAAGCTCATCCAGGGTAATACAGGGCAGGGATATCTTCATGCAACTGTACCCCACATTAACCACAGTCAGTGAATAGTCTGAATTCTGGCCTAGAATTTGGACTATCCCTGACTTTGGGCCCATCTGAACAGTTGGTCTGGTTCCAGAATGGAACTGATTGCCATTGTTCCCCCTGTCATGCCATGTTTCCTGGATTCAGGTGGTGCTGGGATATAGGATAGCAGTTACCATCTTCTCCTGCCCTCTGTGTCACAATGGCCTCTGGACACAACATGGTCCTCCTACCTGTTAGCTGTTGCCTGCAGTGATCTCTACCAGGGTGACAAGGACATCTGGGGGAAAAAGGGGAGAGGATAGAGCAATTCTTCCTCTCCCGGTCCCTCATTCCTCTGTTGTCTGGCCAGCGTTACTACAGGTGACCGCTGACAGATAAGACCCATTACACAACTGGTGATTGCCATGACACAGACGCTGGGAGAACTGGCAAGCTGCCATCCAGCAGCACCAAACCACATTTGTAACTCCTGGGTGGTTGGGTCTCCCTCCCATCTCTTTAGCAGGTGGGGGAGTGCCTGTCTGACACAGGCCTATACCACACCAGATGGGCCCCAGATTGTTTCCCCCATCTATGAAATCCCATCTCAACCCTACAATATACATTGAGATTCCCACAATATTCCTACTTGTATCAGCACAGTAGCTCCGTTGCTTGTCTTTATCATAACTTCCTGTTGTTGCACACCAGAAATGTCCAGTCGCTACGTCTTCACTAGTACAGGTGTAAAATGTCCGGCTCTTGTAAGCGAAAGGGAAGACACAGGATTTCCCACTAGTATTACCAACATACTCTAAAGACAAAAAAGGGGGAGAGGCAGACATACTCAGCTACACTAATGACACATTTCACTTTGTCACAGAGATTCCATCACAAAGGTTTTCTATGAATATTTGGCAAATATTCATATTCACCCACGCCCTCCGCCAAGCCCCCAAATCCCTTTGAAAACTTATATACGCTCCATAGGATGCCTGGGCCGACTCTCCTGGCTCATAGAAATGATGTGCCTCCCTTAATTCAGAAATTCTGAAAGCAGAAATATATTCTTTCAGGCATAGGATCAGAGGGTATTAGGAGACAACGTTTTAATCAATAGCAATGCTATATATATGTGTGTGTGTGTGTGTGTGTGTGTGTGTGTATATATATATATATATATATATATATATATAAAATGGTGAAGCTGTATATGGAACACATAGAAAAGAAGTCATAAAATGCATCCAAAAAACTTACATCGTGCTCACTCTTGTCAAGGTGATGCATGCCATATGCCAGCAAATATGGAAAATACAAGAATGGCCATCAGACTGGAAAAAATCAACTTATATCCCCATACCAAAAAAGGGAAATGCGAAAGACTGCTCAAACTTCCGTACAGTGGCCCTTATTTCTCATGCCAGTAAGGTAATGCTCAAGATCCTGCAAGGAAGACTCCAGCAATACATGGAGCGAGAGTTGCCAGATGTTCAAGTTGGGTTTAGAAAAGGCAGAGGAACGAGAGACCAGATTGCCAATATCCGCTGGATAATGGAGAAAGGCAGGGAGTTCCAGAAAAATGTCTATTTCTGTTTCATTGACTTTTCTAAAGCCTTCGACTGTGTGGATCATAATAAATTGTGGCAAGTTCTTGGTGGGATGGGCATACCAAGCCACCTTGTCTCTCTCCTGAGGAATCTGTACAAGGACCGAGTAGCAGCAGTAAGAACTGACCACGGAACAACAGACTGGTTCAAGATTGGGAAAGGCGTACGGCAAGGCTGCAGACTCTCACTCAACCTTTTTAACTTGTATGCAGAACACATCATGCGATGTGTGGGGCTTGATGAATGCAAGGCTGGGGTGAAAATTGCTGGAAGAAACATTAACAACCTCAGATATGCAGATGACACCACTTGATGGCCGAAAGCGAGGAGGAGCTGAGGAGACGTCTAATCAAGGTGAAAAAAGAAAGTGCAAAAGCTGGGTTGCAGCTAAACATCAAAAAAACCAAGATTATAGAGCTGCAGAATGATTGACAACTGGAAAATAGAGGGAGAAAACGTGGAGGCCGTGACAGACTTTGTATTTCTAGGTGCAAAGATTACTGCAGATGCAGACTGTGGCCAGGAAATCAGAAGACGCTTCCTTCTTGGGAGGAGAGCAATGTCCAGTCTCAATAAAATAGTAAAGAGTAGAGACATCACACTGGCAACAAAGATCCGCCTAGTCAAAGCCATGGTATTCCCTGTAGTAACCTACGGCTGTGAGAGCTGGACCTTAGGGAAGGCTGAGCGAAGGAAGATAGATGCTTTTGAACTGTGGTGTTGGAGGAAAGTTCTGAGAGTGCCTTGGACTGCGAGAAGATCCAACCAGTCCATCCTCCAGGAAATAAAGCCCGACTGCTCATTGGAGGGAAGGATACTAGAGACAAAGTTGAAGTACTTTGGCCATATCATGAGGAGACAGCAAAGCTTAGAGAAGACAATTATGCTGGGGAAAGTGGAAGGTAAAAGGAAGAGGGGCCGACCAAGGGCAAGATGGATGGATGGCATCCTTGAAGTGACTGGACTGACCTTGAAGGAGCTGGGGGTGGTGACGGCCGACAGGGAGCTCTGGCGTGGGCTGGTCCATGAGGTCACGAAGAGTCGGAGACGACTGAACAAATGAACAACAACACTCTTGAGAATCACAATTCTAGATTCTATGAAGTACAATGTCATATTTGAATGTTTTCTTTCTAATAGATTATATAACTACATAATTTGGAGATGTATCGTAGTTTGCAGTTGTGGCACACCATGGTTTATCACCTGCATCAACCGTGGTGCATGAAGAATAAGATTTCTGTCAGTAAATAAATGGAAAAACACAGGGTGGTGGGACTGGAAAGAAAACAGAAGATAGCAATTTTATTCAGATCATTTAGAGGTAAAACAAAATTCACACTAAAACAACCCAGTGGGGCAGGATAATGCATTGTCCCTTCCACTAGAGCAAAGAATGCAAGAGCACTTCTTTTCTCTTGCCAATATTTGCATGTATATAGTTTTCTTTACACTTGTGTATGCCCCACTTGAAGGTTTACTGTGGAGGTTCCCCTCTCCCTTCACTGCATTCAGCTCTTGATCCCCTGATTTACTGTATAGCATCTGAGAGGCCAACATACATACCAACAGACAGAGAGACAGAGAAAGAGTCATTCTATGCCATGTGGGAAGCTGGCAAGTTTGGAGATAGATCTGGCTAGGTCCATGTAGCCAAACACAAACTGATAACAATGGTGCTAAGATCTACTGAGGGTCTCTGAAATCATTTTCCATCTGGTTGCAGGCCGGTAAGGTTTTGTTTTTGGTTTGTTTGGTTTTTTTAAACTTTTTTAAAAGGTCATGCCAATGTGAGTAGATCAATAGGTACCACTCCGGTGGGAAGGTAACCGCGTTCCATGCAGTCATGCCGGCCACATGTCCTTGGAGGTGTCTTTGGACAATGCTGGCTCTTCGGTTTAGAAATGGAGATGAGCACCACACTCCAGAGTCGGACATGACTGGACTTAATGTCAGGAGAAAACCTTTACCTAAAAGGGTCTGGGGGCTTGGGGGGGTAGGGCCTCCCCACCTTCTCTCGTACTAGTCCCAAGAGAACATGTGGATAATGCCCCTCCCCCGAAAGCATGAGCTTTCTGAGGTGGGTGCGAACAGCCCTCCAAAAACATCCGCGTTTTTTAACGCGGATGGTTTTGGGATAAAGTGCTGCCTACATCCAGCCCTAGCCAACCTGAATTGAAGACATTGAGTACCCTCCTCAAAACATGACTAAAGAAAATCATAGCCCTGAAAGGGCTATCCAGTCTGACATGGGCTATCCAGTCCGACCCCCTGCTATGCAAGAATACACTATCATGAAAATTGTCGTCCCGCTTCTGTTTAAAACTTCCAAAGAAAGAGACCCCACCACACTCTGAGGCAGTGTATTCCACAGCTGAACAGCCCTTGCCATCTAAAAGTTCTTCCAGATGTTCAGGTGGAATCTCTTTTAATTCAATTTAAATCTATTCCTCCATGCCCGAGTCTCTGGAGCAGCAGAAAACAAACCTGTTTCACCTTCTAGATCCATTCTAACTGGAAATTTGGAGTATCCCTGGACTTTGATTAACATTGATAAACAATGCAACAACATGTTGTGGGAGTGTTTTGAAATAAAACAAATTCTGGCAAATGATACAAGGAAAAATTCAGGAGATATTCCAGATAAAAATTCAAATTAATAATGATTTCCTACAATGGGGAGTGTTGGATCATCCGAATATAATAACTAATTGCCAGGAGTTATTTAAGGTAACAATAAGAGCAGCCCATGCGGTGATTGCTAGAGGATGGAAAGACAAATTGAAATGGACGTTAAGCAATTGGAATGATTGTATGTATGACCAAGTGCTGTTAGATATTACGGGAATTATGACTAAGCAAGCACCAAGAATGGACAAAGAAAAGATCATTACAAATAGATGGAAGGTCTACTTAAACTGGGTGAAAAATGGAGGAGCCAACAATCACATCAAAGAAAAAATAAAAAGACGCTGCCAGTGGCTGGATCTGCAAGATTAGTAGAAATATTCTGTGGTTGAGGAGGGAGGGAGGGAGAGAGGGAGAGAGGGAGAGGGAGGGAAGGTGGGGATAATGTAATCAACACCAGTGTAAATTAGCATAAGGTCTTTAATATTTGTTGAATTACTCAGGATTTATATGTGTAACTCTTGGAATTTGGCTTATTGATTTGTGTTTATAACATAATAAAATATTTAAAAAAAGAAAATGTCAATGTATTCTACTTGTGAACCTCCTTGCTGCTGTAGGTTGCTGCCCCATTTTCATCTATTCCCGAGGGTGAGATATCTGTGGTCTTCCTGATCTTTTCCTTTGCAGAACCCAACTGCACCTATCACTCCAAGCTATTCCTCATTCCTTCTGTCTCCAGTTATTCATACCTGAGGAGTTACAGTATATCCGTCTGGGATCCTCATTGTAGTTGCTGGTAAGAGAGCACCAGGGTTTCCCACTGGATTCTCCATCTGCTATACAAGACCAGTATGATTTTCCATTGTAGGTAAAAGGGAAAATACAGGGTTGGTTTGGACCTAGTCCTAGAAAGGGTAGAGAAAAGAGTGAAAGAGGAACTAGAGACTGAGAGATTTTCAAAAGAATTCTTAAGACATCTCTGCTGGAAAACATTTCTAGCATCCAGGAAAAATGTGTTCTCTGTTTTGTTTTGTTTGTTGGTTGGTTGGTTTGTTTTTGAGAAATAAAGAATTGTAAACTCTGGAAGCAGAAAGTTGTTATATGTATTATGAACTTGCAACAACTTGGTGGAAGAATATATTCTGCTCCTTCTATTTCTAGCCTCTGTTTCTCTTTCTAGAATGAAAACTTTTCCCTTGACCTCATTTTGTTGGCTCGCTGTGTTATCAACATGGGTTCTGGAGACAGTCTGTGTCAGGACCCAAGGCTGATTTCCAGTTAAGACACTTTTCTTCGTTTTGTGAATCCATATTCATGCTGTGGCACACTCAAATGTGATAGATCAGAGAGGGACAAAATGTTTCAAGATGTTTCTAGGGTGGTGTACAACACAACAACAACAAAAACCAACTTCTTTGCCCCAAATGCCCCTGGAGCAGAGGGGCATTTCCACCACATTCCCTTGGCCAATTTAGCTGAAACATGAAATTAAGAAGAAATGACTTCAGCTCACTTCCTTAAAAAGAGGCTCCTACTGGACCTAAAAGACACTGAGGACATGGGCAGGGAATAATTATTAAACTTTTGTGTGAGAGTTGATGTTGTTGCCCTCCAAAATTTCCTGGGAACCTAATATGGTCCCCTCAGCCTAAGCCTGCTACAGTGAAGAGGTTTGGAGATCTAAATCCTTGCTCAGCCATGAAAACCTCTGGGAACTGTGGGCAACTTGCACTTTCTCAGCCTCTAGTGAAAGCATTGCTAAAACTTTTTTGAACAAATCTTGCCATGAAATCCTTTGATAGGATTGCCATAGGTCAAAATTCTGTGAAAGCACATAACAACAAACCTTCCACAGTCCACCCTGTGCTAGAAAGAGCTTTCTAGAATTAATTTAACAGTCAAAAACTATTACTAATTGATCTTGATCCAATTCTGTCTGTGGACATTAACTCACACTTGTCTAGCACCAACCTCCTTTTGACAGCACTGTGTAATATCTTTGCACCAGTTCCTAATGTAATAAGTCCTAGGTATCTTACTTGTATCAGCACAGTAGCTCCACTGCTTGTCCTTGTCATAGTTCCCGGTTGTAGCACACCAAAATTGTCCATCAGAATTATTTTTATTGGTGCAGGTATTGTATATCGTCCCATTATAAATGAAAGGAAAGACGCAGACCTTCCCTACTGAGTTCCCTTCATACTCTGTAGATGTAAGGAATGGAAACAATTAAGTGAAGTATGCCATCAGCTGATAAATAATTTTTGTGAGCTGTCTTCAATTCCAATGAAATAGTCACAAAACAACAATTCGGGTTGTCATAAACGTAAGCAGCTGCTCACTTCTACATGTTAGCCTGAAAACATCTAATTTGAGACATGTTATTAGACCATCTCTCTGCAATGAACTCTTGCTATGCCTCTGTTTTTAGCAAGTAACACAAGCAAGATCCTGATCAAGATAACGAATTAGTTAAAAGTGAGTTACACGGATAAGAAAACTTAGATTCGTCTTAAATTCACTGATGTTCACAAACTCAAAATGAGTATTTTTTTAAAAAAAAGTTCAAGCAAATGTTGTCCCACTTTGGGAGAATACTCTGGAGCTGACTGGAAGCTCAGGAGTACACTGGTACTGTTTAGCAGTCTGGAGTGTTGGATTGAGTCTAATTCAGGCCATTATGCTGAACAGCGCAGGTGAAAGAGATGGCTCATCCCGTGTCACTGTCACCACTCTGAGCTTGCCACTGAACACCAACTGAGCTCCTTGCTGAGCTCCTAGCGCTGTCAATGCCAGAGCAGAGCGTGCACACTACCAGTGATCTCCCCTCCTTCATCCTGGTTACAGGTGCCCCATTCTGCCATCAGAAGATATTTGTGTGATGACCAAGAGCTCAGAGGGGAAGCTGATGGACCAGTGGGGTCAATGTGACTTCAACATGACTTGATCATGTGGATACTAATGTGCACCAAAGCAGGTTTGGTCAGGTATCACATGAAAAGTGAGGTGATGTTTGAGATGGACAGATGTGGTCTTAGCTCAACTGGACCTTGTGGACTCTAACACGGTGCTGCAATAACTTCAGCTGAGTGCATGTGGCACCAGATTTCTTAGCCGCTTCCCCTAAGTTAGGTTGCTTGATTCTACATATTCTGCATATGTAATTATCATCTTGCTTGGGCACACACACACCAAAACCGTTTTTAAACATTTAGCAATTTATATGTGTCATTCTAAAAGACTATTACTAGGCCTCATAACTATTAAGAATCACAGGGCTGCAAAACCGTAACTACTTTCTATGGGGATGCTGATAATTAATACTGCTGCAAGGTTACTGTTAAACTTTGTGCTTCTGGATATTGGAAAAGAAAACTCTCAAAGCTTTTCTTTGTATTTTTTAGTAGAGCTAGGTCTCTAGAGATAAGCGTGAAAACAGGAATACTTGGTTACAGCACTCAAGCTGGGCAGACAAATATGTCAGAAAGTTGATTACTGTTCGCAACCTATCAGCAAATATCCATATACAGTAGGGCTTCCACTTTTGAAATGGGTTGGGTACTCAGTCATTCATGACTACTGGAAGTTCACCATAGTCATACTGAAGAACCTACAAATATCTAGATCTACCAATGCAACTCTATGGTCAACCTCTGGCAGAAGTTGACCATAGGGTCACACTGGAGGTGCAAAACATTACTGTTTAGAGAGAGAGAGAGAGTTCACCAAAGTTAAACCCTCAAATGTGACTGCTGACTCACTGTATGCTTTTTCTATCCATCCTATAACCTGAACAATTCATTGCAAATAGTAACTATTTGGGACATTTAACATCTCATAGTAATCATGCAAGAATAGCCTATGGGTAGTTTATTAAACAGTATTGCAGTGGAAATCATTTAGCAGCAGTGCATCAGCATCAGGAAGGCGTCTGTAATTTGCGAAAGAACTTAGTGATCACACAGAAAAGTTCTGAGCACACTCTTACCTTGAATAGAACATGCCTTCCATTTGCTATCCCTGTCATAGTTATTGGTGGTGGCACACCATAGCTGACCATCATCAGTGCCTTCCGGGGTGCAGGCAGAGTACGATTTCCCTCTAAAAATGAAGGGGAACACACAAGGACGTGGTTCTGAAATAAGAAACATAAGACATGGGAAGAAAGAATTTCTGTTAAAACACCTCACGTGGGAATATCCAATGTCCCTATCTTGGAAGAAAAGCAGGATAGAAATAAATAACTAATAATATGGTTGACTATAATGATGAGCATAGGGGAAAGGTCTCTGCATCCTTGTGTCACAGTTCTCAGCCAGATCAGTTTGTATATAGTAAAAAAATGGACCAATATGACTATTATTTTAATTTATAATTCAATAGGAATTGAAATTGGTGCAAGGATGGAAACAAAAGAATGAGTATGTTAATGTATATTATGTCATGATGAAATTAATAGGGTTCTGTATGAGGCAACAGAAACAACCCCCTTTTCAGCAGAAGCTCGTCCCCTCTGGTTTAAGGAGCAGACATACACTACTTGTCTTTGAGGTAGATAAGGCTTTATACAGGGAATATTGACAGTATAGCAGCAGAACGGGACTCTTCTCAAACTCTTTTTCCAGACACTCCCAAGTAGTTGAAACCTCCTTCCTTGTATAAGGCTTTGACTGGTCTTATTCTTCAATTATTCTTTATCTTTGCAGTTTTCTTTCCAACACCAACTCTTCATCAACCCATCTCCTTCAAAACACCAACCCTTGACAACAGAGAAGCTTTGTGCTACTTTTACAGCTGTTCCATCCTTGTTGTGAATTCCATAAAGCTAACCAGGTGGCTTAATTCTTAATTTTTATAGTATGATTGGGCTTGATCCGTATGCTTACTTACACTTTCGTATTGTTACTTTAAAATTCTGACATGTTACTTGTGTAATTGCGTAAGAAAAGACATAGAATTGAGCAGTGGAAAGGAGAAAAACAAGGTTCAACACAGAAGTAATTTATGCTGCAACCTCCTATTTCTGTGGATGGCACATAAGAACAAGAGGAGGAGAGAAGAACTTCAATGATAAAATAAACAGGCAAAAGCAGTGTCAACTATAACCCACATCATATATAAGCTATGAAGAAGACAAGGTCATCATCTGGAAGCACCTTGTGTGTTTTCTTACCTGAAGGATCACAGTATGTCCACCTGGGATTTCTGTCATAGTTCCTGCTGAGAGAGCACCAGAGCTTTCCAGTGGATGCCCCAGCTGTTGTGCAAGATGAGTAGGACTTTCCCTTGTAAATAAAAGGAAATATGCATGGTCCGTGATCATTGGCAACTAATCCTGAAGAGATATAAAGGAGAGGAGAGGGAAGAAAGAGAGAGGCATATCTTACAGAAGTTTTCTTTTCCATTTATTAATGCCCCACATGGAGAAATCCTGTCTTCTGTCCTGTAGCAGACCAGAAGATACCACACTAGGGATGAGAACTTAGATTAATACTTCTAAACCAATGATATTTCCCCAAATTACACTCGGTAGATGGGTCCCCCACTTCTGTAGCCACAATAATTTAATTTTCTTCATTTACTTTGCTCTTTAGACACATTTCACTAGTATACATAGTTATCAGGAGTGTTTGGCCTAAACCAAGGAAAAGTATGAAGAAAGTGCTTATGGTTAGTTCCTTTATATTTCCAAAACATGTCATAGCCATTCCTCTTCTATGCCATGTTATGGATCATGTTGCCTGATTTCATAAGTATAGAAGACGGTAACATATATTGCGGGACCAATAATTTCTATACGCCAGTACAGGCATTATATGATAACTAGTTAAAGTGTCCAAGGTTTTATCTAACCCTACTGAGATTCCAGAAACATTAGAGCTCGAGAAAGTGGCCAATGGATGTTGAATAGGGAATTTGAAGAATTCCAATATCTGCAGGAAATGAACTGGTTGCCTCAATTGTGTCCTCTACCAAAAATCACATCTACACTGACACTTAAGTCAAACTGGGGTGAATCAGCTTCATGAGAGCTAAATACCATATGAAGTATCGTACGAAGCTCATCCAGGGTAATACAGGGCAGGGATATTTTCATGCAACTGTACCCCACATTAACCACAGTCAGTGAATAGTCTGAATTCTGGCCTAGAATTTGCACTATCCCTGACTTTGGGCCCATCTGAACAGTTGGTCTGGTTCCAGAATGGAACTGATTGCCATTGTTCCCCTGTCATGCCATGTTTCCTGGATTCAGGTGGTGCTGGGATATAGGATAGCAGTTACCATCTTCTCCTGCCCTCTGTGTCACAATAGCCTCTGGACACAACATGGTCCTACCTGTTAGCTGTTGCCTGCAGTGATCTCTACCAGGGTGACAAGGACATCTGGGAAAAGAAGGGGAGAGGATAGAGCAATTCTTCCTCTCCCCCTCCCTCATTCCCCTGTTGTCTGGCCAGCATTACTACAGGTGACCACTGACAAGTAAGACCCATTACACAACTGGAGATTGCCATGACAGAGAGGCTGGGAGAACTGGCAAGCTGCCATCCAGCAGCACCAAACCACATTTGTAACTCCTGGGTGGTTGGGTCTCCCTCCCATCTCTTTAGCAGGTGGGGGAGTGTCTGTCTGACACAGGCCTATACCGCCCCAGATTGTTGCCCCAACTATGAAATCCCATCTCAACCCTACAATATACATTGAGATTCCCACAATATTCCTACTTGTATCAGCACAGTAGCTCCGTTGCTTGTCTTTATCATAACTTCCTGTTGTTGCACACCAGAAATGTCCAGTCGCTACGTCTTCACTAGTACAGGTGTAAAATGTCCGGCTCTTGTAAGCGAAAGGGAAGACACAGGATTTCCCACCAGTATTACCAACATACTCTAAAGACAAAAAAGGGGAAGAGGCAGACATACTCAGCTACACTAATGACACATTTCACTTTGTCACAGAGATTCCATCACAAAGGTTTTCTATGAATATTTGGCAAATATTCATATTCACCCACCCCCTCCACCAAGCCCCCAAATCCCTTTGAAAACTTATATACTCTCCATAGGATGCCTGGGCCGACTCTCCTGGCTCATAGAAATGATGTGCCAGAAGAGCAGGGGGGCGATTTTCCTCCCTCCCTTAATTCAGAAATTCTGAAAACAGAAATATATTATTTCAGGCATAGGATCAGAGGGTATTAGGAGACAACGTTTTAATCAATAGCAATGCTATATATATAGTGGTGAAGCTGTATATGGAACACATAGAAAAGAAGTCATAAAATGCATCTAAAAAAACTTACATCGTGCTCACTCTTGTCAAGGTGATGCATGCCATAAGCCAGCAAATATGGAAAACACAAGAATGGCCATCAGACTGGAAAAAATCAACTTATATCCCCATACCAAAAAAGGGAAATGCGAAAGACTGCTCAAACTTCCGTACAGTGGCCCTTATTTCTCATGCCAGTAAGGTAATGCTCAAGATCCTGCAAGGAAGACTCCAGCAATACATGGAACGAGAGTTGCCAGATGTTCAAGTTGGGTTTAGAAAAGGCAGAGGAACGAGAGACCAGATTGCCAATATCCACTGGATAATGGAGAAAGGCAGGGAGTTTCAGAAAAACGTCTATTTCTGTTTCATTGACTATTCTAAAGCCTTTGACTGTGTGGATCATAATAAATTGTGGCAAGTTCTTGGTGGGATGGGCATACCAAGCCACCTTGTCTCTCTCCTGAGGAATCTGTACAAGGACCAAGTAGCAACAGTAAGAACTGACCACGGAACAACAGACTGGTTCAAGATTGGGAAAGGCGTACAGCAAGGCTGCATACTCTCACTCAACCTTTTTAACTTGTATGCAGAACACATCATGCGATGTGCGGGGCTTGATGAATGCAAAGCTGGGGTGAAAATTGCTGGAAGAAACATTAACAACCTCAGATATGCAGATGACACCACTCTGATGGCCGAAAGCGAGGAGGAGCTGAGGAGCCTTCTAATCAAGAAGAAAGCGCAAAAGCTGGGTTGCAGCTAAACATCAAAAAAACCAAGATTATGGCAACAAGAATGATTGACAACTGGAAAATAGAGGGAGAAAATGTGGAGGCCGTGATAGACTTTGTATTTCTAGGTGCAAAGATTACTGCAGATGCAGACTGTGGCCAGGAAATCAGAAGACGCTTACTTCTTGGGAGGAGAGCAATGTCCAATCTCGATAAAATAGTAAAGAGTAGAGACATCACACTGGCAACAAAGATCTGCATAGTCAAAGCATGGTATTCCCTGTAGTAACCTACAGATGTGAGAGCTGGACCTTAGGGAACGCTGAGCGAAGGAAGATAGATGCATTTGAACTGTGGTGTTGGAGGAAAGTTCTGAGAGTGCCTTGGACTGCGAGAAGATCCAACCAGTCCATCCTCCAGGAAATAAAGCCCGACTGCTCATTGGAGGGAAGGATACTAGAGACAAAGTTGAAGTACTTTGGCCATATCATGAGGAGACAGCAAAGCCTAGAGAAGACAATTATGCTGGGGAAAGTGGAAGGTAAAAGGAAGAGGAGCCGACCAAGGGCAAGATGGATGGATGGCATCCTTGAAGTGACTGGACTGACCTTGAAGGAGCTGGGGGTGGTGACGGCCGACAGGGAGCTCTGGCGTGGGCTGGTCCATGAGGTCACGAAGAGTCAGAGACGACTGAACAAATGAACAATAACACTCTTGAGAATCACAATTCTAGATTCTATGAAGTACAATGTCATATTTGAATGTTTTCTTTCTAATAGATTATATAACTACATAATTTGGAGACGTATCGTAGTTTGCATTTGTGGCACACCATGGTTTATCACCTGCATCAACCGTGGTGCATGAAGAATAAGATTTCTGTCGGTAAATTAATGGAAAAACACAGGGTGGTGGGACTGGAAAGAAAACAGAAGATAGCAATTTTATTCAGATCATTTAGAGGTAAAACAAAATTCACACTAAAACAACCCAGTGGGGCAGGATAATGCATTGTCCCTTCCACTAGAGCAGCGGTTCTCAACCTGGGGGTCGCGACCCCTCAGGGGGTCGTTTGGCCATTTTCTGGGGGTCGCGAAGCCGCATTGGCTGGCCACGCCCCCTCCAAAATGGCGGCCGACCCCCTGCGCCACTGGCATTCCCCCGCGCGAAGCCATCCGCCTGTCCCTCATCTCCTTCTGATGGCAGAAGGAGGCGAGGGACGGGCGAGCGGCTCCGCGGGCGGCTAGGCCACACGCGAAGCCATCTGCCTGTCCCTTGCTTCCTTCTGATGGCAGAAGGAGGTGAGGGATGGGTGAGTGGCTCCTTGGGCGCCCCTCGCCTGCTCTGCTCTCCCGCCGGCCGGTGGGGGGGCGGAGCAGGCGAGGGCCTTTGGAGCAAGGCCTTCTCCAGGTGCCCTTGCCTGCTCCGCTCTCCCTGGCGGGGGGGGGGGGGCGGAGCAGGCGAGGGCCTTGGGAGCAAGGCCTTCTCCAGGCGCCCTCGGCTGCTCCGCTCTCCCGCCAGCCGGCGGGGGGGCGGAGCAGGCGAGGGCCTTTGGAGTAAGGCCTTCTCCAGGCGCCCTTGCCTGCTCCGCTCTCCCGCCGGCCGGCGGGGGGGGGGGGCGGAGCAGGCGAGGGCCTTGGAGCAAGGCCTTCTCCAGGCGCCCTTGCCTGCTCCGCTCTCCCGCCGGCCGGCGGGGGGGGGGGGGGGAGCAGGCGAGGGCCTTGGGAGCAAGGCCTTCTCCAGGCGCCCTCGGCTGCTCCGCTCTCCCGCCAGCCGGCGGGGGGGCGGAGCAGGCGAGGGCCTTTGGAGTAAGGCCTTCTCCAGGCGCCCTTGCCTGCTCCGCTCTCCCGCCGGCCGGCGGGGGGGGGGGCGGAGCAGGCGAGGGCCTTGGGAGCAAGGCCTTCTCCAGGCGCCCTCGGCTGCTCCGCTCTCCCGCCGGCCGGCAGGGGTGCGGAGCAAGCGAGGGCTCTTCGTTGCAGGTGAACTATAAATCCCAGCAACTGCATATCCCAAATGTCAAGGTCTATTTTCAACAAACTCCACCAGTGTTCACATTGGGGCATATTGAGTATCTGTGCCAAGTGTGGACCAGATCCATCATTGTGTGAGTCTGCAATGCTCTCTGGATGCAGGTGAACTACATCTCCCAAACTCAAGGTCAGTGCTCACCAGACCATTCCAGTATTTTTCGTTGGTTGTGGGAGTTCTGTGTGCCAAGTTTGGTCCAATTCCATCATTGGTGGAGTTCAAAATGCTCTTTAATTGTAGGTGAACTATAAATCCCAGCAACGACAACTTCCAAATGACATAATCAATTTTCCCTCCAACCCCACCAGTATTCAAATTTGGGTGTATTGGATAGCGTAAGGTAAAAGTTTTCCCCTGACATTAAGTCCAGTTGTGTCCAACTCTGGGAGTTGGTGCTCAATTTCTAGGCCAAAGAGCCGGTGTTGTTCACAGACACCTCCAAGGTCATGTAGCTGACATGACGGCATGGAGTGCTGTTTTTGGGTATTTGTGCCAAATTTGGTCCAGTGAATGAAAATACATCCTGCATTTCAGATTTTTACATTGTGATTCATAACAGTAACACAATTATAATTAGGAAGTAGCAATAATAATAATTTTATGGTTGGGGGTCACCACAACGTGAGGCACTGTATTAAGGGGTCGCGGCATTACGAAGGTTGAGAACCACTGCACTAGAGCAAAGAATGCAAGAGCACTTCTTTTCTCTTGCCAATATTTGCATGTATATAGTTTTCTTTACACTTGTGTATGCCCCACTTGAAGGTTTACTGTGGAGGTTCCCCTCTCCCTTCACTGCATTCAGCTCTTGATCCCCTGATTTACTGTATAGCATCTGAGAGGCCAACATACATAACAATAGACAGAGAGACAGAGAAAGAGTCATTCTATGCCATGTGGGAAGCTGGCAAGTTTGGAGATAGATCTGGCTAGGTCCATGTAGCCAAACACGAAATGATAACAATGGTGCTAAGATCTACTTAGGGTCTCTGAAATCATTATCCATCTGGTTGCAGGCCGGTAAGGTTTTGTTTTTGGTTTGTTTGGGTTTTTTTTACTTTTTTTAAAAGGTCATGCAAATGTGAGTAGATCAATAGGTACCACTCCGGCGGGAAGGTAACCACATTCCATGCAGTCATGCCGGCCACATGTCCTTGGAGGTGTCTATGGACAATGCTGGCTCTTCGGCTTAGAAATGGAGATGAGCACCACCCCCCAGAGTCGGACATGACTGGACTTAATGTCAGGGGAAAACCTTTACCCAAAAGGGTCTGGGGGCTTGGGGGGGTAGGGCCTCCCCACCTTCTCTCGGGCTAGTCCCAAGAGAACATGTGGATAATGCCCCTCCCCCGAAAGCATGAGCTTTCAGAGGTGGGTGCAAACAGCCCTCCCAAAACATCCGCGTTTTTTTAACGCGGATGGTTTTGGGATAAAGTGCTGCCAACATCCAGCCCTAGCCAACCTGAATTGAAGACATTGAGTACCCTCCTCAAAACATGACTAAAGAAAATCATAGCCCTGAAAGGGCTATCCAGTCTGACATGGGCTATCCAGTCCGACCCCCTGCTATGCAAGAATACACTATCATGAAAATTGTCGTCCCGCTTCTGTTTAAAACTTCCAAAGAAAGAGACCCCACCACACTCTGAGGCAGTGTATTCCACAGCTGAACAGCCCTTGCCATCTAGAAGTTCTTCCAGATGTTCAGGTGGAATCTCTTTTAATTCAATTTAAATCTATTCCTCCATGCCCGATACAAGGAAAAATTCAGGAGATATTCCAGATAAAAATTCAAATTAATAATGATTTCCTACAATGGGGAGTGTTGGATCATCCAAATATAATAACTAATTGCCAGGAGTTATTTAAGGTAACAATAAGAGCAGCCCATGCGGTGATTGCTAGAGGATGGAAAGACAAATTGAAATGGACGTTAAGCAATTGGAATGATTGTATGTATGACCAAGTGCTGTTAGATATTACGGGAATTATGACTAAGCAAGCACCAAGAATGGACAAAGAAAAGATCATTACAAATAGATGGAAGGTCTACTTCAACTGGGTGAAAAATGGAGGAGCCAACGATCACATCAAAGAAAAAATAAAAAGACGCTACCAGTGGCTGGATCTGCAAGATTAGTAGAAATATTCTGTGGTTGAGGAGGGAGGGAGGGAGAGAGGGAGAGAGGGAGAGAGGGAGAGGGAGGGAAGGTGGGGATAATGTAATCAACACCAGTGTAAATTAGCATAAGGTCTTTAATATTTGTTGAATTACTCAGGATTTATATGCGTAACTCTTGGAATTTGGCTTATTGATTTGTGTTTATAACATAATAAAATATCTATTTTAAAAAAGAAAATGTCAATGTATTCTACTTGTGAACCTCCTTGCTGCTGTAGGTTGCTGCCCCATTTTCATCTATTCCCGAGGGTGAGATATCTGTGGTCTTCCTGATCTTTTCCTTTGCAAAACCCAGCTGCACCTATCACTCCAACCTATTCCTCATTCCTTCGGTCTCCAGTTATTCATACCTGAGGAGTTACAGTATATCCGTCTGGGATCCTCATTGTAGTTGCTGGTAAGAGAGCACCAGGGTTTCCCACTGGATTCTCCATCTGCTATACAAGACCAGTATGATTTTCCATTGTAGGTAAAAGGGAAAATACAGGGTTGGTTTGGACCTAGTCCTAGAAAGGGTAGAGAAAAGAGTGAAAGAGGAACTAGAGATTGAGAGATTTTCAAAAGAATTCTTAAGACATCTCTGCTGGAAAACATTTCTAGCATCCAGGAAAAATGTGTTCTCTGTTTTGTTTTGTTTGTTTGTTGGTTGGTTTGTTTTTGAGAAATAAAGAATTGTAAACTCTGGAAGCAGAAAGTTGTTATATGTATTATAAACTTGCAACAACTTGGTGGAAGAATATATTCTGCTCCTTCTATTTCTAGCCTCTATTTCACTTTCTAGAATGAAAACTTTTCCCATGAGCTCATTTTGTTGGCTCGCTGTGTTATCAACATTGGTTCGGGAGACAGTCTGTGTCAGGATCCAAGGTTGATTTCCAGTTAAGACAAAAGTCACATTTCTTTGTTTTGTGAATCCATATTCATGCTGTGGCACACTCAAATGTGATAGATCAGAGAGGGTCAAAATGTTTCAAGATGTTTCTAGGGTGGTGTGCAACACAACAACAACAACAAAAACCCTATATCTTTGCCCCAAATCCCCCTGGAGCAGAGGGGCATTTCCACCACATTCCCTTGGCCAATTTAGCTGCAGGACAGATCCTTCTTGAAACATGAAATTAAGAAGAATGACTCCAGCTCACTTCCTTAAAAAGAGGCTCCTACTGGACCTAAAAGACACTGAGGACATGGGCAGGGAATAATTATTAAACTTTTTGTGTGGGAGTTGATGTTGTTGCCCTCCAAAGTTCCCTGGGAACCTAATATGGTCCCCTCAGCCTAAGCCTGCTACAGAAGGTAGCACAGTGAAGAGGTTTGGAGATCTAAATCCTTGCTCAGCCATGAAAACCTCTGGGAACTGTGGGCAACTTGCACTTTCTCAGCCTCTAGTGACAGCATTGCTAAAACTTTTTTGAACAAATCTTGCCATGAAATCCTTTGATAGGGTTGCCATAGGTCAAAATTATGTGAAAGCACATAACAACAAACCTTCCACAGTTCACCCTGTGCTAGAAAGAGCTTTCTAGAATCAATTTAACAGACAAAAACTCTATTACAAATTGATCTTGGACATTAACTCACACTTGTCTAGCACCAACCTCCTTTTGACAGCACTGTGTAATATCTTTGCACCAGTTCCTAATGTAATAAGTCCTAGGTATCTTACTTGTATCAGCACAGTAGCTCCACTGCTTGTCCTTGTCATAGTTCCCGGTTGTAGCACACCAAAATTGTCCATCAGAATTATTTTTATTGGTGCAGGTATTGTATATCGTCCCATTATAAATGAAAGGAAAGACGCAGACCTTCCCTACTGAGTTCCCTTCATACTCTGTAGATGTAAGGAATGGAAACAATTAAGTGAGGTATGCCATCAGCTGATAAATAATTTTTGTGAGCTGTCTTTAATTCCAATGAAATAGTCACAAAACAACAATTCAGGTTGTCATAAATGTAAGCAGCTGCTCACTTCTACATCTTAGCCTGAGAACATCTAATTTGAGACATGTTATTAGACCATCTCTCTGCAATGAACTCTTGCTATGCCTCTGTTTTTAGCAAGTAACACAAACAAGATCCTGATCAAGATAACGAATTAGTTAAAAGTGAGTTACACGGATAAGAAAACTCAGATTCGTCTTAAATCCACTGATGTTCACAAACTCAAAATGAGTATTTTTTTTAAAAAAAAGGTTCAAGCAAATGTTGTCCCACTTTGGGAGAATACTCTGGAGCTGACTGAAAGCTCAGGAGTACACTGGTACTGTGTAGCAGTCTGGAGTGTTGAATTGAGTCTAATTCAGGCCATTATGCTGAACAGCGCAGGTGAAAGAGATGCAGGCCCGTAGCCAGGATTTCATTTGGGGGGGGGTGAATTTTTTTTCAGGGGGGGGTTCGGGGGGGCTGAGTTTCGGGGGGGGGCTGAGTCTGAGTGAAAGAGGGTCTAGCCTAGCAAACCTTTTGTATCATTACCCCAATACCCCCATGCATATGGGATATATTGAGTATGGTGATCAGATCATTATATGAATAAAAATAACAGTTTAAATAATGCACCAGTAAGGCCTTTTCGCGAACCACCATGAGAATTTCGGGGGGGCTGAAGCCCCCCCCAGCCCCCCCCCCGGCTACATGCCTGAAGAGATGGCTCATCCCGTGTCACTGTCACCACTCTGAGCTTGCCACTGAACACCAACTGAGCTCCTTGCTGAGCTCCTGGCACTGTCAATGCCAGAGCAGAGTGTGCACACTACCAGTGATCTCCCCTCCTTCATCCTGGTTACAGGTGCCCCATTCTGCCATCAGAAGATATTTGTGTGATGACCAAGAGCTCAGAGGGGAAGCTGATGGACCAGTGGGGTCAATGTGACCTCAACATCACTTGATCATGTGGATACTAATGTGCACCAAAGCAGGTTTGGTCAGGTATCACATGAAAAGTGAGGTGATGATTGCGATGGACAGATGTGGTCTTAGCTCAACTGGACCTTGTGGACTCTAACACYGTGCTGCAATAACTTCAGCTGAGTGCATGTGGCACCAGATTRCGTAGCCACTTCCCCTAAGTTAGGTTGCTTGATTCTACATATTCTGCATATGTAATTATCATCTTGCTTGGACACACACACACCAAAACCGTTTTTAAACATTTAGCAATTTATATGTCATTCTAAAAGAGTATTACTAGGCCTCATAAATATGAAGAATCACAGGGCTGCAAAACTGTAACTACTTTCTATGGAGATGCTGATAATTAAGACTGCTGCAAAGTTACTGTTAAACTTTGTGCTTCTGGATATTGGAAAAAAAATCTCTGAAAGCTTTTCTTCGTATTGTTTAGTAGAGCTAGGTCTCTAGAGATAAGCCTGAAAACAGGAATACTTGGTTACAGCACTCAAGCTGGGCAGACAAATATGTCAGAAAGTTCATTACTGTTCGCAACCTATCAGCAAATATCCATATACAGTAGGGTTTCCACTTTTGAAATGGGTTGGGTACTCAGTCATTCATGACTACTGGAAGTTCACCATAGTCATACTGAAGAACCTACAAATATCTAGGTCTACCAATGCAACTCTATGGTCAACCTCTGGCAGAAGTTGACCATAGGGTCACACTGGAGGTCCTAAACATTACTGTTTAAAGAAAGAGAGAGAGAGAGAGAGTTCACCAAAGTTAAACCCTCAAATGTGACTGGCTGACTCACTGTATGCTTTTTCTATCCATCCTATAACCTGAACAATTCATTGCAAATAGTAACTATTTGGGACATTTAACATCTCATAGTAATCATGCAAGAATAGCCTATGGGTAGTTTATTAAACAGTATTGCAGTGGAAATCATTTAGCAGCAGTGCATCAGCATCAGGAAGGCGTCTGTAATTTGCGAAAGAACTTAGTGATCACACAGAAAAGTTCTGAGCACACTCTTACCTTGAATAGAACATGCCTTCCATTTGCTATCCCTGTCATAGTTATTGGTGGTGGCACACCATAGCTGACCATCATCAGTGCCTTCCGGGGTGCAGGCAGAGTACGATTTCCCTCTAAAAATGAAGGGGAACACACAAGGACGTGGTTCTGAAATAAGAAACATAAGGCATGGGAAGAAAGAATTTCTGTTAAAACACCTCACGTGGGAATATCCAAGGTCCCTATCTCGGGAGAAAAGCAGGATAGAAATAAATAACTAATAATATGGTTGACTATAATGATGAGCATAGGGGAAAGGTCTCTGCATCCTTGTGTCACAGTTCTCAGCCAGATCAGTTTGTATATAGTAAAAAAATGGACCAATATGACTATTATTTTAATTTATAATTCAATAGGAATTGAAATTGGTGCAAGGATGGAAACAAAAGAATGAGTATGTTAATGTATATTATGTCATGATGAAATTAATAGGGTTCTGTATGAGGCAACAGAAACAACCCCCTTTTCAGCAGAAGCTCGTCCCCTCTGGTTTAAGGAGCAGACATACACCACTTGTCTTTGAGGTAGATAAGGCTTTATACAGGGAATATTGACAGTATAGCAGCAGAACGGGACTCTTCTCAAACTCTTTTTCCAGACACTCCCAAGTAGTTGAAACCTCCTTCCTTGTATAAGGCTTTGACTGGTCTTATTCTTCAATTATTCTTTATCTTTGCAGTTTTCTTTCCAACAGCAACTCTTCATCAACCCATCTCCTTCAAAACAACAACCCTTGACAACAGAGATGCTTTGTGCTACTTTTACAGCTGTTCCATCCTTGTTGTGAATTCCATAAAGCTAACCAGGTGGCTTAATTCTTAATTTTTATAGTATGATTGGGCTTGATCCGTATGCTTACTTACACTTTCGTATAGTTACTTTAAAATTCTGACATATTACTTGTGTAATTGCGTAAGAAAAGACATAGAATTGAGTAGTGGAAAGGAGAAAAACAAGGTTCAACACATAAGTAATTTATGCTGTAACCTCCTATTTCTGTGGATGGCACATAAGAACAAGAGGAGGAGAGAAGAACTTCAATGATAAAATAAACAGGCAAAAGCAGTGTCAATTATAACCCACATCATATATACGCTATGAAGAAGACGAGGCCACCATCTGGTAGCACCTTGTGTGTTTTCATACCTGAAGGATCACAGTATGTCCACCTTGGATTTCTGTCATAGTTCCTGCTGAGAGAGCACCAGAGCTTTCCAGTGGATGCCCCAGCTGTTGTGCAAGATGAGTAGGACTTTCCCTTGTAAATAAAAGGAAATATGCATGGTCCGTGATCATTGGCAACTAATCCTGAAGAGATATAAAGGAGAGGAGAGGGAAGAAAGAGAGAGGCATATCTTACAGAAGTTTTCTTTTCCATTTATTAATGCCCCACATGGAGAAATCCTGTCTTCTGTCCTGTAGCAGACCAGAAGATACCACACTAGGGATGAGAACTTAGATTAATACTTCTAAACCAATGATATTTCCCCAAATTACACTCGGTAGATGGGTCCCCCACTTCTGTAGCCACAATAATTTAATTTTCTTCATTTACTTTGCTCTTTAGACACATTTCACTAGTATACATAGTTATCAGGAGTGTTTGGCCTAAACCAAGGAAAAGTATGAAGAAAGTGCTTATGGTTAGTTCCTTTATATTTCCAAAACATGTCATAGCCATTCCTCTTCTATGCCATGTTATGGATCATGTTGCCTGATTTCATAAGTATAGAAGACGGTAACATATATTGCGGGACCAATAATTTCTATAAGCCAGTACAGGCATATATGATAACTAGTTAAAGTGTCCATGGTTTTATCAAACCCTACTGACATTCCAGAAACATTAGAGCTCGAGAAAGTGGCCAATGGACATTGAATAGGGAATTTGAAGAATCTTCATGCAACTGTACCCCCACATTAACCACAGTCAGTGAATAGTCTGAATTCTGGCCTAGAATTTGGACTATCCCTGACTTTGGGCCCATCTGAACAGTTGGTCTGGTTCCAGAATGGAACTGATTGCCATTGTTCCCCCTGTCATGCCATGTTTCCTGGATTCAGGTGGTGCTGGGATATAGGATAGCAGTTACCATCTTCTCCTGCCCTCTGTGTCACAATGGCCTCTGGACACAACATGGTCATACCTGTTAGCTGTTGCCTGCAGTGATCTCTACCAGGGTGACAAGGACATCTGGGAAAAGAAGGGGAGAGGATAGAGCAATTCTTCCTCTCCCCCTCCCTCATTCCCCTGTTGTCTGGCCAGCGTTACTACAGGTGACCGCTGACAGGTAAGACCCATTACGCAACTGGAGATTGCCATGACAGATAGGCCGGAGAACTGGCAAGCTGCCATCCAGCAGCACCAAACCACATTTGTAACTCCTGGGTGGTTGGATCTCCCTCCCATCTCTTTAGCAGGTGGGGGAGTGCCTGTCTGACACAGGCCTATACCACACAAGATGGGCCCCAGATTGTTTCCCCCATCTATGAAATCCCATCTCAACCCTACAATATACATTGAGGATCCCACAATATTCCTACTTGTATCAGCACAGTAGCTCCGTTGCTTGTCTTTATCATAACTTCCTGTTGTTGCACACCAGAAATGTCCAGTCACTACATCTTCACTAGTACAGGTGTAATATGTCCGGCTCTTGTAAGCGAAAGGGAAGACACAGGAATTCCCACCAGTATTACCACCATACTCTAAAGACAAAAAAGGGGGAGAGGCAGACATACCCAGCTACACTAATGACACATTTCACTTTGTCACAGAGATTCCATTACAAAACTTTTCTATGAATATTTGGCAAATATTCATATTCACCCACCCCCTCCGCCAAGCCCCCAAATCCCTTCGAAAACTTATATACTCTCCATAGGATGCCTGGGCCGACTCTCCTGGCTCATAGAAATGATGTGCCAGAAGAGCAGGGGGCCGATTTTCCTCCCTCCCTTAATTCAGAAATTCTGGAAGCAGAAATATATTATTTCAGGCATAGGATCAGAGGGTATTAGGAGACAACGTTTTAATCAATAGCAATGCTATATATATATATATATATAATGGTGAAGCTGTATATGGAAGACATAGAAAAGAAGTCATAAAATGCATCTAAAAAACTTACATCGTGCTCACTCTTGTCAAATGCGAAAGACTGCTCAAACTTCTGTACAGTGGCCCTTATTTCTCATGCCAGTAAGGTAATGCTCAAGTCCGGCAAGGAAGACTTCAGCAATACATGGAGCGAGAGTTGCCAGATGTTCAAGCTGGGTTTAGAAAAGGCAGAGGAACGAGAGACCAGATTGCCAATATCCACTGGATAATGGAGAAAGGCAGGGAGTTTCAGAAAGACGTCTATTTCTGTTTCATTGACTATTCTAAAGCCTTTGACTGTGAGGATCATAAAAAATTGTGGCAAGTTCTTGGTGGGATGGGCATATCAAGCCACCTTGTCTCTCTCCTGAGGAATCTGTACAAGGGACCAAGTAGCAACAGTAAGAACTGACCACGGAACAACAGACTGGTTCAAGATTGGGAAAGGCATATGGCAAGGCTGCATACTCTCACCCAACCTTTTTAACTTGTATGCAGAACACATCATGTGAGGATGTGCGGGGCTTGATGAATGCAAAGCTGGGGTGAAAATTGCTGGAAGAAACATTAACAACCTCAGATATGCAGATGACACCACTCTGATGGCCGAAAGCGAGGAGGAGCTGAGGAGCCTTCTAATCAAGGTGAAAGAAGAAAGTGCAAAAGCTGGGTTGCGGCTAAACATCAAAAAAACCAAGATTATGGCAACAAGAATGATTGACAACTGGAAAATAGAGGGTGAAAATGTGGAGGCCGTGACAAACTTTGTATTTCTAGGTGCAAAGATTACTGCAGATGCAGACTGTGGCCAGGAAATCAGAAGACGCTTCCTTCTTGAGAGGAGAGCAATGTCCAATCTCGATAAAATAGTAAAGAGTAGAGACATCACACTGGCAACAAAGATCTGCATAGTCAAAGCAATGGTATTCCCTGTAGTCACCTACGGATGTGAGAGCTGGACCTTAGGGAAGGCTGAGCGAAGGAAGATAGATGCTTTTGAACTGTGGTGTTGGAGGAAAGTTCTGAGAGTGCCTTGGACTGCGAGAAGATCCAACCAGTCCATCCTCCAGGAAATAAAGCCCGACTGCTCATTGGAGGGAAGGATACTAGAGACAAAGTTGAAGTACTTTGGCCATATCATGAGGAGACAGCAAAGCTTAGAGAAGACAATTATGCTGGGGAAAGTGGAAGGTAAAAGGAAGAGGGGCCGACCAAGGGCAAGATGGATGGATGGCATCCTTGAAGTGACTGGACTGACCTTGAAGGAGCTGGGGGTGGTGAGGCCGACAGGGAGCTCTGGCGTGGGCTGGTCCATGAGGTCACGAATAGTTGGAGACGACTGAACAAATGAACAACAACACTCTTGAGAATCACAATTCTAGATTCTATGAAGTACAATGTCATATTTTAATGTTTTCTTTCTAATAGATTATATAACTACATAATTTGGAGACGTATCGTAGTTTGCAGGTGTGGCACACCATGGTTTATCACCTGCATCAACCGTGGTGCATGAAGAATAAGATTTCTGTCGGTAAATAAATGGAAAAACACAGGGTGGTGGGACTGGAAAGAAAACAGAAGATAGCAATTTTATTCAGATCATTTAGAGGTAAAACAAAATTCACACTAAAACAACCCAGTGGGGCAGGATAATGCATTGTCCCTTCCACTAGAGCAAAGAATGCAAGAGCACTTCTTTTCTCTTGCCAATATTTGCATGTATATAGTTTTCTTTACACTTGTGTATGCCCCACTTGAAGGTTTACTGTGGAGGTTCCCCTCTCCCTTCACTGCATTCAGCTCTTGATCCCCTGATTTACTGTATAGCATCTGAGAGGCCAACATACATACCAATAGACAGAGAGACAGAGAAAGAGTCATTCTATGCCATGTGGGAAGCTGGCAAGTTTGGAGATAGATCTGGCTAGGTCCATGTAGCCAAACACAAACTGATAACAATGGTGCTAAGATCTACTGAGGGTCTCTGAAATCATTTTCCATCTGGTTGCAGGCCGGTAAGGTTTTGTTTTCAGTTTGTTTGTTTTTTTTAACTTTTTTAAAAGGTCATGCCAATGTGAGTAGATCAATAGGTACCACTCCGGCGGGAAGGTAACCGCGTTCCATGCAGTCATGCCAGCCACATGTCCTTGGAGGTGTCTATGAACAATGCTGGCTCTTCGGCTTAGAAATGGAGATGAGCACCATACTCCAGAATCGGACATGACTGGACTTAATGTCAGGGGAAAACCTTTACCCAAAAGGGTCTGGGGGCTTGGGGGGGTAGAGCCTCCCCACCTTCTCTCGGGCTAGTCCCAAGAGAACATGTGGATAATGCCCCTCCCCCGAAAGCATGAGCTTTCAGAGGTGGGTGCAAACAGCCCTCCCAAAACATCCGCGTTTTTTTAACGCGGATGGTTTTGGGATAAAGTGCTGCCAACATCCAGCCCTAGCCAATCTGAATTGAAGACATTGAGTACCCTCCTCAAAACATGACTAAAGAAAATCATAGCCCTGAAAGGGCTATCCAGTCTGACATGGGCTATCCAGTCCGACCCCCTGCTATGCAAGAATACACTATCATGAAAATTGCCGTCCCGCTTCTGTTTAAAACTTCCAAAGAAAGAGACCCCACCACACTCTGAGGCAGTGTATTCCACAGCTGAACAGCCCTTGCCATCTAAAAGTTCTTCCAGATGTTCAGGTGGAATCTCTTTTAATTCAATTTAAATGTATTCCTCCATGCCCGAGTCTCTGGAGCAGCAGAAAACAAACCTGTTTCACCTTCTAGATCCATTCTAACTGGAAATTTGGAGTATCCCTGGACTTTGATTAACATTGATAAACAATGCAACAACATGTTGTGGGAGTGTTTTGAAATAAAACAAATTCTGGCAAATGATACAAGGAAAAATTCAGGAGATATTCCAGATAAAAATTCAAATTAATAATGATTTCCTACAATGGGGAGTGTTGGATCATCCAAATATAATAACTAATTGCCAGGAGTTATTTAAGGTAACAATAAGAGCAGCCCATGCGGTGATTGCTAGAGGATGGAAAGACAAATTGAAATGGACGTTAAGCAATTGGAATGATTGTATGTATGACCAAGTGCTGTTAGATATTACGGGAATTATGACTAAGCAAGCACCAAGAATGGACAAAGAAAAGATCATTACAAATAGATGGAAGGTCTACTTCAACTGGGTGAAAAATGGAGGAGCCAACGATCACATCAAAGAAAAAAAATAAAAAGACGCTACCAGTGGCTGGATCTGCAAGATTAGTAGAAATATTCTGTGGTTGAGGAGGGAGGGAGGGAGAGAGGGAGAGAGGGAGAGAGGGAGAGGGAGGGAAGGTGGGGATAATGTAATCAACACCAGTGTAAATTAGCATAAGGTCTTTAATATTTGTTGAATTACTCAGGATTTATATGCGTAACTCTTGGAATTTGGCTTATTGATTTGTGTTTATAACATAATAAAATATCTATTTTAAAAAAGAAAATGTCAATGTATTCTACTTGTGAACCTCCTTGCTGCTGTAGGTTGCTGCCCCATTTTCATCTATTCCCGAGGGTGAGATATCTGTGGTCTTCCTGATCTTTTCCTTTGCAAAACCCAGCTGCACCTATCACTCCAACCTATTCCTCATTCCTTCGGTCTCCAGTTATTCATACCTGAGGAGTTACAGTATATCCGTCTGGGATCCTCATTGTAGTTGCTGGTAAGAGAGCACCAGGGTTTCCCACTGGATTCTCCATCTGCTATACAAGACCAGTATGATTTTCCATTGTAGGTAAAAGGGAAAATACAGGGTTGGTTTGGACCTAGTCCTAGAAAGGGTAGAGAAAAGAGTGAAAGAGGAACTAGAGATTGAGAGATTTTCAAAAGAATTCTTAAGACATCTCTGCTGGAAAACATTTCTAGCATCCAGGAAAAATGTGTTCTCTGTTTTGTTTTGTTTGTTTGTTGGTTGGTTTGTTTTTGAGAAATAAAGAATTGTAAACTCTGGAAGCAGAAAGTTGTTATATGTATTATGAACTTGCAACAACTTGGTGGAAGAATATATTCTGCTCCTTCTATTTCTAGCCTCTGTTTCTCTTTCTAGAATGAAAACTTTTCCCATGAGCTCATTTTGTTGGCTCGCTGTGTTATCAACATTGGTTCGGGAGACAGTCTGTGTCAGGATCCAAGGTTGATTTCCAGTTAAGACAAAAGTCACATTTCTTTGTTTTGTGAATCCATATTCATGCTGTGGCACACTCAAATGTGATAGATCAGAGAGGGTCAAAATGTTTCAAGATGTTTCTAGGGTGGTGTGCAACACAACAACAACAACAAAAACCCTATATCTTTGCCCCAAATCCCCCTGGAGCAGAGGGGCATTTCCACCACATTCCCTTGGCCAATTTAGCTGCAGGACAGATCCTTCTTGAAACATGAAATTAAGAAGAATGACTCCAGCTCACTTCCTTAAAAAGAGGCTCCTACTGGACCTAAAAGACACTGAGGACATGGGCAGGGAATAATTATTAAACTTTTTGTGTGGGAGTTGATGTTGTTGCCCTCCAAAGTTCCCTGGGAACCTAATATGGTCCCCTCAGCCTAAGCCTGCTACAGAAGGTAGCACAGTGAAGAGGTTTGGAGATCTAAATCCTTGCTCAGCCATGAAAACCTCTGGGAACTGTGGGCAACTTGCACTTTCTCAGCCTCTAGTGACAGCATTGCTAAAACTTTTTTGAACAAATCTTGCCATGAAATCCTTTGTTGGGTTGCCATAGGTCAAAATTATGTGAAAGCACATAACAACAAACCTTCCACAGTTCACCCTGTGCTAGAAAGAGCTTTCTAGAATCAATTTAACAGACAAAAACTCTATTACAAATTGATCTTGGACATTAACTCACACTTGTCTAGCACCAACCTCCTTTTGACAGCACTGTGTAATATCTTTGCACCAGTTCCTAATGTAATAAGTCCTAGGTATCTTACTTGTATCAGCACAGTAGCTCCACTGCTTGTCCTTGTCATAGTTCCCGGTTGTAGCACACCAAAATTGTCCATCAGAATTATTTTTATTGGTGCAGGTATTGTATATCGTCCCATTATAAATGAAAGGAAAGACGCAGACCTTCCCTACTGAGTTCCCTTCATACTCTGTAGATGTAAGGAATGGAAACAATTAAGTGAGGTATGCCATCAGCTGATAAATAATTTTTGTGAGCTGTCTTTAATTCCAATGAAATAGTCACAAAACAACAATTCAGGTTGTCATAAATGTAAGCAGCTGCTCACTTCTACATCTTAGCCTGAGAACATCTAATTTGAGACATGTTATTAGACCATCTCTCTGCAATGAACTCTTGCTATGCCTCTGTTTTTAGCAAGTAACACAAACAAGATCCTGATCAAGATAACGAATTAGTTAAAAGTGAGTTACACGGATAAGAAAACTCAGATTCGTCTTAAATCCACTGATGTTCACAAACTCAAAATGAGTATTTTTTTTTTAAAAAAAAGGTTCAAGCAAATGTTGTCCCACTTTGGGAGAATACTCTGGAGCTGACTGAAAGCTCAGGAGTACACTGGTACTGTGTAGCAGTCTGGAGTGTTGAATTGAGTCTAATTCAGGCCATTATGCTGAACAGCGCAGGTGAAAGAGATGCAGGCCCGTAGCCAGGATTTCATTTGGGGGGGGGGGGTGAATTTTTTTCAGGGGGGGTTCTGTGGGGGGGGCTGAGTCTGAGTGAAAGAGGGTCTAGCCTAGCAAACCTTTTGTATCATTACCCCAATACCCCCATGCATATGGGATATATTGAGTATGGTGATCAGATCATGATATGAATAAACATAACAGTTTAAATAATGCACCAGTAAGGCCTTTTCGCGAACCACCATGAGAATTTCGGAGGGGGCTGAAGCCCCCCGAGGCCCCCCCCCCCGGCTACATGCCTGAAGAGATGGCTCATCCCGTGTCACTGTCACCACTCTGAGCTTGCCACTGAACACCAACTGAGCTCCTTGCTGAGCTCCTGGCACTGTCAATGCCAGAGCAGAGTGTGCACACTACCAGTGATCTCCCCTCCTTCATCCTGGTTACAGGTGCCCCATTCTGCCATCAGAAGATATTTGTGTGATGACCAAGAGCTCAGAGGGGAAGCTGATGGACCAGTGGGGTCAATGTGACCTCAACATCACTTGATCATGTGGATACTAATGTGCACCAAAGCAGGTTTGGTCAGGTATCACATGAAAAGTGAGGTGATGATTGCGATGGACAGATGTGGTCTTAGCTCAACTGGACCTTGTGGACTCTAACACGGTGCTGCAATAACTTCAGCTGAGTGCATGTGGCACCAGATTCCGTAGCCACTTCCCCTAAGTTAGGTTGCTTGATTCTACATATTCTGCATATGTAATTATCATCTTGCTTGGACACACACACACCAAAACCGTTTTTAAACATTTAGCAATTTATATGTCATTCTAAAAGAGTATTACTAGGCCTCATAAATATGAAGAATCACAGGGCTGCAAAACTGTAACTACTTTCTATGGAGATGCTGATAATTAAGACTGCTGCAAAGTTACTGTTAAACTTTGTGCTTCTGGATATTGGAAAAAAAATCTCTGAAAGCTTTTCTTCGTATTGTTTAGTAGAGCTAGGTCTCTAGAGATAAGCCTGAAAACAGGAATACTTGGTTACAGCACTCAAGCTGGGCAGACAAATATGTCAGAAAGTTCATTACTGTTCGCAACCTATCAGCAAATATCCATATACAGTAGGGTTTCCACTTTTGAAATGGGTTGGGTACTCAGTCATTCATGACTACTGGAAGTTCACCATAGTCATACTGAAGAACCTACAAATATCTAGGTCTACCAATGCAACTCTATGGTCAACCTCTGGCAGAAGTTGACCATAGGGTCACACTGGAGGTCCTAAACATTACTGTTTAAAGAAAGAGAGAGAGAGAGAGAGTTCACCAAAGTTAAACCCTCAAATGTGACTGGCTGACTCACTGTATGCTTTTTCTATCCATCCTATAACCTGAACAATTCATTGCAAATAGTAACTATTTGGGACATTTAACATCTCATAGTAATCATGCAAGAATAGCCTATGGGTAGTTTATTAAACAGTATTGCAGTGGAAATCATTTAGCAGCAGTGCATCAGCATCAGGAAGGCGTCTGTAATTTGCGAAAGAACTTAGTGATCACACAGAAAAGTTCTGAGCACACTCTTACCTTGAATAGAACATGCCTTCCATTTGCTATCCCTGTCATAGTTATTGGTGGTGGCACACCATAGCTGACCATCATCAGTGCCTTCCGGGGTGCAGGCAGAGTACGATTTCCCTCTAAAAATGAAGGGGAACACACAAGGACGTGGTTCTGAAATAAGAAACATAAGGCATGGGAAGAAAGAATTTCTGTTAAAACACCTCACGTGGGAATATCCAAGGTCCCTATCTCGGGAGAAAAGCAGGATAGAAATAAATAACTAATAATATGGTTGACTATAATGATGAGCATAGGGGAAAGGTCTCTGCATCCTTGTGTCACAGTTCTCAGCCAGATCAGTTTGTATATAGTAAAAAAAAAATGGAGCCAGACCAATATGACTATTATTTTAATTTATAATTCAATAAGAATTGAAATTGGTGCAAGGATGGAAAGAAAAGAATGAGTATGTTAATATATATTATGTCATGATGAAATTAATAGGGTTCTGTATGAGGCAACAGAAACAACCCCCTTTTCAGCAGAAGCTCGTCGCAGGCCAGTATACAGGGCCGGCCCGTCCATTACTCGAAGTAAGCGGTCGCGGAATACTTTTTTTGCCAGGGGGCGCTGTTTTGTCCTTAGGCCACGCCTCCTCCTGGAGGCCCCATGCGCCCTCAACAGCCTTCTAATGGAGAAGCGCAGGCCCCGCCCACTAGGCGAGAGGGAAGTCCTCCCTCCACGTGCTGCCGAGGAGGCAGCCAGCCAGGCTCTTTCGCTTTCCCTTTCCTTCCCTGCAGCTGAGCCTGGACCCCTCTCAGGGCAGCAAGGAGGCCTCGTCAAAAGGTACTGCAAATGTCATCTTTTGTACATGCCTCCCCCAAACCTCTCTAGTATTTGGTAATGGAAGTCCTATATGCCAAGTTTGGTTCAATTCTATTGTTGGTGGAGCTCAGAATGTTCTTTGGTGCTTGGTAAACTGCAATTCCCAAATGTCAGGGTCTATTTTTCCCAACCCCCTCTCCAGTACTTTTCTGTTAGTCATGGAAGTCCTGTATGCCAAGTTTGGTTCAATTCTATTGTTGGTGGAGCTCAGAATGTTCTTTGGTGCTTGGTAAACTGCAATTCCCAAATGTCAGGGTCTATTTTTCCCAACCCCCTCTCCAGTATTTTCTGTTAGTCATGTAAGTCCTGTATGCCAAGTTTGGTTCAATTCTATTGTTGGTGGAGCTCAGAATGTTCTTTGGTGCTTGGTAAACTGCAATTCCCAAATGTCAGGGTCTATTTTTCCCAACCCCCTCTCCAGTATTTTCTGTTAGTCATGGAAGTCCTGTATGCCAAGTTTGGTTCAATTCTATTGTTTGTGGAGCTCAGAATGTTCTTTGGTGCTTGGTAAACTGCAATTCCCAAATGTCAGGGTCTATTTTTCCCAACCCCCTCTCCAGTATTTTCTGTTAGTCATGGAAGTCCTGTATGTCAAGTTTGGTTCAATTCTATTGTTGGTGGAGCTCAGAATGTTCTTTGGTGCTTGGTAAACTGCAATTCCCAAATGTCAGGGTCTATTTTTCCCAACCCCCTCTCCAGTATTTTCTGTTAGTCATGGAAGTCCTGTATGCCAAGTTTGGTTCAATTCTATTGTTGGTGGAGCTCAGAATGTTCTTTGGTGCTTGGTAAACTGCAATTTCCAAATGTCAGGGTCTATTTTTCCCAACCCCCTCTCCATTATTTTCTGTTAGTCATGGAAGTCCTGTATGCCAAGTTTGGTTCAATTCTATTGTTGGTGGAGCTCAGAATGTTCTTTGGTGCTTGGTAAACTGCAATTCCCAAATGTCAGGGTCTATTTTTCCCAACCCCCTCTCCAGTATTTTCTGTTAGTCATGGAAGTCCTGTATCCCAAGTTTGGTTCAGTTCTATTATTGGTGGAGCTCAGAATGTTCTTTGGTGCTTGGTAAACTGCAATTCCCAAATGTCAGGGTCTATTTTTCCCAACCCCCTCTCCAGTATTTTCTGTTAGTCATGGAAGTCCTGTATGCCAAGTTTGGTTCAATTCTATTGTTGGTGGAGCTCAGAATTCTTTGGTGCTTGGTAAACTGCAATTCCCAAATGTCAGGGTCTATTTTTTCCAACCCCCTCTCCAGTATTTTCTGTTAGTCATGGAAGTCCTGTATGCCAAGTTTGGTTCAATTCTATTGTTGGTGAGCTCAGAATGTTCTTTGGTGCTTGGTAAACTGCAATTCCCAAATGTCAGGGTCTATTTTTCCCAACCCCCTCTCCAGTATTTTCTGTTAGTCATGGAAGTCCTGTATGCCCAGTTTGGTTCAATTCTATTGTTGGTGGAGCTCAGAATGTTCTTTGGTGCTTGGTAAAGCATTCTCACCTGATGTTTCACCCACATCTATGGCAGGCATCCTCAAGAGGCTGTGAGGTCTGTTTGTAACTAGGCAAGTGGGGTTTGTATATCTGTGGAATGTCCAGGGTGGGAAAAAGAACTCATGTCTGCTTGAGGTAAGTGTGAATGTTGCAATTGGTCATCTTGATGAGTATTTAATGGCCTTGCAGCTTCGAAGCCGAGCTAGTTGCTGCCCAGGAATCCTTTGTTGGGAGCGGTTAACTGGCCCTGATTGCTTCATGTCAGGAATTCCCCCCTTTTTTAGTGTTGCTCTTTATTTATTGTTCTGATTTTAGAGGGTACTGGTAGCCAGATTTTGTTCCTCTGAGGTTGCCTGCCATAGATGTGGGGAAAATGTCAGGAGAGAATGCTTCTGGAACATGGCCATACAGCCCAGAAAACTCACAGCAACTCAGTGATTCTGGCCATGAAAGCCTTCCACAACACATTATTATGTTTATTTATACCCTGCTTTTTCTCTCCCCAAGAAGACTCAAGTTGGCTTAGATTAAAAACATTTCAGTACAGTTTAAAATCCACAAATATGCAAACATTAAAATGGAATTAAATATCATTGGTATTTTAAAAATTCAGTTAAAATCCATAAAAAACATATCCAAAACTAAAAACTGCAGCAGACCCTGACTTGATCTTTAAAACCTTTTAAAGCCTGCATTAGATTACCAAATGTAATGTCCCTTTATACACACTGCTTTATATTAATTTCCCCAGTATTCCTTTATCTGATTTGTCATCAGCACACTTAATGGACTGCAAAAATATGATCCTGTGTGATTCCTTTCCATTTCCAAGTCGCCCAGTCCTCTGTGTGCCCAGGGGGGAGTCTCTCATCTGGTATCAGCCATGGGCTGAGGTGCTGGGTTTGAGCCTGCCACTTTTGGACTCTCGCTTGCTGAGGTGTTCCAGCGAGTGTCTCTGTAGATCTTAGAAAACTTATAAAAACGTATTTAAGATCAACTTTGAGTCAAGAGCGCTTGAGTGGACTAGCAACCTTGGCCATTGAAAATGGCTTGTTGGATGAAATGGAAACAGATATAATAGTACACGAGTTTTCAAAATTGAAAGCCAGAAAAATCTCTTTTTAATTTTAAAAGTGTTCAAGTTTATTTGTGTTAAGGAAAACTGGATGTCAAAGTATCCACTAAAGTGAAGGGGCCAGAGGCTGACTACGTTGCCACACCCATTGTAATGGTCCAGGCTGGCATGGCACTTTTGAAGGACAAGAGTTCACTTTCTTAAAAAGGAGGTGTCTATTCTCCTGGGGCTGCGTTCTCCAAAACAAATCTGATTGACAGACCCAACAAGCATGGGATTGAGTTCTCTGTTATTAGCAAACCCCTAGTCTGAAAAATCTTCTCTGAAGAGACAGCATGACCAGGAAACCTTTGTGTAGTACTTGTAGACCAAAAATAACAACAAAAACTTAAAATTGTTGCTAAGTTTAGTAAAATATTTGCATTCTTAAAAAAGTTAATTTGTGTAATGTAACTATATAAACATAATGTTGTAAGTAAATTTCTGGTTTGTAAGGTAACTCTTTTATTCACCTCTACCTTCTACGTTTTATTTTTCAGTGATTGGTTGGGGGGAGGGGGCGCCAAAATAATGTTTGCTTACCATTGAAAATTACCTAGGGCCGGCCCTGCATACACCACTTGTCTTTGAGGTAGATAAGGCTTTATACAGGGAATATTGACAGTATAGCAGCAGAACGGGACTCTTCTCAAACTCTTTTTCCAGACACTCCCAAGTAGTTGAAACCTCCTTCCTTGTATAAGGCTTTGACTGGTCTTATTCTTCAATTATTCTTTATCTTTGCAGTTTTCTTTCCAACAGCAACTCTTCATCAACCCATCTCCTTCAAAACAACAATCCTTGACAACAGAGAAGCTTTGTGCTACTTTTACAGCTGTTCCATCCTTGTTGTGAATTCCATAAAGCTAACCAGGTGGCTTAATTCTTAATTTTTATAGTATGATTGGGCTTGATCCGTATGTTTACTTACACTTTCGTATTGTTACTTAAAAATTCTGACATATTACTTGTGTAATTGCGTAAGAAAAGACATAGAATTGAGTAGTGGAAAGGAGAAAAACAATAAGGTTCAACACAGAAGTAATTTATGCTGTAACCTCCTATTTCTGTGGATGGCACATAAGAACAAGAGGAGGAGAGAAGAAATTCCATGATAAAATAAACAGGCAAAAGCAGTGTCAACTATAACCCACATCATATATAAGCTATGACGAAGACAAGGCCACCATCTGGAAGCACCTTGTGTGCTTTCTTACCTGAGGGATCACAGTATGTCCACCTGGGATTTGTGTCATAGTTCCTGCTGAGAGAGCACCAGAGCTTTCCAGTGGATGCCCCAGCTGTTGTGCAAGATGAGTAGGACTTTCCCTTGTAAATAAAAGGAAATATGCATGGTCCGTGATCATTGGCAACTAATCCTGAAGAGATATAAAGGAGAGGAGAGGGAAGAAAGAGAGAGGCATATCTTACAGAAGTTTTCTTTTCCATTTATTAATGCCCCACATGGAGAAATCCTGTCTTCTGTCCTGTAGCAGACCAAAAGATACCACACTAGGGATGAGAACTTAGATTAATACTTCTAAACCAATGATATTTCCCCAAATTACACTCGGTAGATCGGTCCCCCACTTCTATAGCCACAATCATTTAATTTTCTTCATTTGCTTTGCTCTTTAGACACATTTCACTGGTATACATAGTGGTCAGGCGTGTTTGGCCTAAACCAAGGAAAAGTATGAAGAAAGTGCTTATGGTTAGTTCCTTTATATTTCCAAAACATGTCATAGCCATTCCTCTTCTATGCCATGTTATGGATCATGTTATCTGATTTCATAAGTATAGAAGACAGTGACATATATTGCGGGACCAATAGTTTCTATAAGCCGGTACAGGCATTATATGATAACTAGTTAAAGTGTGCAAGGTTTTATCAAGCCCTACTGAAATTCCAGAAACATTAGAGCTCGAGATTCCCACAATATTCCTACTTGTATCAGCACAGTAGCTCCGTTGCTTGTCTTTATCATAACTTCCTGTTGTTGCACACCACAAACGTCCAGTCGCTACATCTTCACTAGTACAGGTGTAAAATGTCCGGCTCTTGTAAGCAAAAGGGAAGACACAGGATTTCCCACCAGTATTACCACCATACTCTAAAGAAAAAAATGGGGAGAGGCACACATACTCAGCTACACTAATGACACATTTCACTTTGTCACAGAGATTCCATTACAAAACTTTTCTATGAATATTTGGCAAATATTCATATTCACCCACGCCCTCCGCCAAGCCCCCAAATCCCTTCGAAAACTTATATACTCTCCATAGGATGCCTGGGCCGACTCTCCTGGCTCATAGAAATGATGTGCCAGAAGAGCAGGGGGGCGATTTTCCTCCCTCCCTTAATTCAGAAATTCTGAAAGCAGAAATATATTCTTTCAAGCATAGGATCAGAGGGTATTAGGAGACAACGTTTTAATCAATAGCAATGCTATATATATATATATATATATATATATATATAGTCATAGAAAAGAAGTCATATAGAAAAGAAGTCATAAAATGCATCTAAAAAACTTACATCGTGCTCACTCTTGTCAAGGTTATTTATTTGTCGTGTCAGAGCAACCAGTCCATTATATATTGCATTTCTAACAGAACAAAGCAAACAGACAGAAAAATACACAACTTCTGAGTTTGGTAGTTGATTAAATGTCCTTTGACCAGTAGCTGGCCACTTGGAGTGCCTCTGGTGTTGCTGCAAGAAGGTCCTCCATTGTGCATGTGGCAGGGCTCAGGTTGCATTGCAGCAGGTGGTCAGTGGTTTCCTCTTCTCCACACTCGCATGTCGTGGATTCCACTTTGTAGCCCCATTTCTTAAGGTTGGCTCTGCATCTCGTGGTGCCAGAGCGCAGTCTGTTCAGCGCCTTCCAAGTCGCCCAGTCTTCTGTGTGCCCAGGGGGGAGTCTCTCATTTGGTATCAGCCATTGGTTGAGGTGCTGGGTTTGAGCCTGTCTTGTCAAGGTGATGCATGCCATATGCCAGCAAATATGGAAAACACAAGAATGGCCATCAGACTGGAAAAAAATCAACTTATAGGGAAAGGGAAATGTGAAAGACTGCTCAAACTTCCGTACAGTGGCCCTTATTTCTCATGCCAGTAAGGTAATGCTCAAGATCCTGCAAGGAAGACTTCAGCAATACATGGAGCGAGAGTTGCCAGATGTTCAAGCTGGGTTTAGAAAAGGCAGAGGAACGAGAGACCAGATTGCCAATATCCGCTGGATAATGGAGAAAGGCAGGGAGTTTCAGAAAAACATCTATTTCTGTTTTCATTGACTATTCTAAAGCCTTTAACTGTGTGGATCATAATAAATTGTGGCAAGTTCTTGGTGGGATGGGCATACCAAGCCACCTTGTCTCTCTCCTGAGGAATCTGTACAAGGACCGAGTAGCAGCAGTAAGAACTGACCACGGAACAACAGACTGGTTCAAGATTGGGAAAGGCGTACGGCAAGGCTGCATACTCTCACCCAACCTTTTTAACTTGTATGCAGAACACATCATGCGATGTGTGGGGCTTGATGAATGCAAGGCTGGGGTGAAAATTGCTGGAAGAAACATTAACAACCTCAGATATGCAGATGACACCACTCTGATGGCCGAAAGCGAGGAGGAGCTGAGGAGCCTTCTAATCAAGGTGAAAGAAGAAAGTGCAAAAGCTGGGTTGCAGCTAAACATAAAAAAAAAACCAAGATTATGGCAACAAGAATGATTGACAACTGGAAAATAGAGGGAGAAAATGTGGAGGCCGTGACAGACTTTGTATTTCTAGGTGCAAAGATTACTGCAGATGCAGACTGTGGCCAGGAAATCAGAAGACGCTTCCTTCTTGGGAGGAGAGCAATGTCCAGTCTCGATAAAATAGTAAAGAGTAGAGACACACAGAGAGACAGAGAAAGAGTCATTCTATGTCATGTGGGAAGCTGGCAAGTTTGGAGATAGATCTGGCTAGGTCCATGTAGCCAAACACAAAATGATAACAATGGTGCTAAGATCTACTGAGGGTCTCTGAAATCATTTTCCATCTGGTTGCAGGCAGGTAAGGTTTTGTTTTTGTTTGGTTTGGTTTTTTTTTACTTTTTTAAAAGATCATGCACATGTGAGTAGATCAATAGGTACCACTCCGGCGGGAAGGTAACCACGTTCCATGCAGTCATGCCGGCCACATGTCCTTGGAGGTGTCTATGAACAATGCTGGCTCTTCGGCTTAGAAATGGAGATGAGCACCAAACTCCAGAGTCGGACATGACTGGACTTAATGTCAGGGGAAAACCATTACCCAAAAGGGTCTGGGGGCTTGGGGGGGTAGGGCCTCCCCACCTTCTCTCGGGCTAGTCCCAAGAGAACATGTGGATAATGCCCCTCCGCCGAAAGCATGAGCTTTCTGAGGTGGGTGCGAACAGCCCGCCCAAAACATCCGCCTTTTTTTAACGCGGATGGTTTTTGGATAAAGTGCTGCCTACATCCAGCCCTAGCCAACCTGAATTGAAGACATTGATTACCCTCCTCAAAACATGACTAAAGAAAATTATAGCCTTGAAAGTGCTATCCAGTCTGACATGGGCTATCCAGTCCGACCCCCTGCTATGCAAGAATACACTATAATGACAAATTGTCGTCCTGCTTCTGTTTAAAACTTCCAAAGAAAGAGACCCCACCACACTCTGAGGCAGTGTATTCCACAGCTGAACAGCTCTTGCCTTCTAGAAGTTCTTCCAGATGTCCAGGTGGAATCTCTTTTAATTCAATTTAAATCTATTCCTCCATGCCCGAGTCTCTGGAGCAGCAGAAAACAAACCTGTTTCACCTTCTAGATCCATTCTAACTGGAAATTAATGATATGCTTCCCCAGGTAGAATAACCCATAATAATAGAGAGAGAGAGACTTACCATTCGCTGTAACAAGTCGTGGTAAAAGGGCACAGGCACTGAAGAAGAATATCATGATGGAGGTCATTTCTGTTCTACTTTGCATTGGCAAGTAAACTCTTTTATAGATGTGGCTAGACTATTTTGTATGAACAATTAACAGTAAAATAGTATATAAGCCAATAATTGCCATGTCAATGAACCTTATGGTGTGTGTCTTTTGCTGAGCAAAGTTATAAAGTTCAACAGTTATGTCACAAACACTTACGGGCATGAAGAAATCCAGTGAAATGATATGATTGGCTTTTAAACATAGAAGAGCAACAAAATGAAGAATGGGCAATATTATTCATAATGATAATATTAGCACTAGCTGATTCCACTTGACAAGCTCTTGTTCAGACTTATATTTAGTTTTGACTAATCACTTCAAAGACAGGCTTTCCTCAATAAGTCTATGGGAGATAGCTGCAGAATGTTACAGGGAGACTTCAAAAATATGTGGCCATGTAGCCATCCTTCTATCATAGTCCATCGTTCCATCCACCATCAAACATATCATTCCTCTATTTTTAGAAAATATTGCATCTCTCATTGCTGTATTAAAAATATTCAGAGCCACAAAATTTCTTCTCAGAGGATTAGCACTAGAAGACATAAATGGTATTGCGTTGTAAATAGCACAATCTCAGTGCTGTTGATCTCCTCCTCAAATCAAAGCCAGGTTAAACAGCATTTGACAACATGTGCAGGGGACAGAACAGTCCAGGCCTTCATGATTGTCTTGTAAACAGCACTGAGATTAAGAGGCACCTTGATCTCCTCCTCAAATCAAAGCCAGAATAAAAAGCATTTGACAACATGTGCAGGGGACAGAACAATGGCTAATAAAGAACAGTCCAGGCCTTCATGATTGTCTTCAGCTTTGATTTATGACCCATTCTAAGTGCTATGTTTGCTTTGCCGGTCACTTTGGGGCCAAGTGGGATTTCCCCCCTTTATTTGGTTTTTTATACTGTATTTGTGGGGTTTGACATTGGGCTAAGGGTGATATCTGTGTCTAGTTCATCCCTAGAAGGTTTTGAAAGGGGGAAATATGAGTTTTACCTTGGCACCCTATTAGTTAAATATAGAGCTCTGGAATGTTTGGGGGTTTTTTTTTTTTTTTTCAGTTTTGTGATCCAAGGTGAAAAATCCTGTCTTTGGGACTAACCTAAAGAGATTGCTCTTTCTATTAAAGTCCTTTAATTTGAAGAAGATGTCTGTGTGTGACTCGCAGTAAATAGCTGGCCAGAATGAGCAACATGTGAATTGCCTTCAGGATCAATTGTTTCACCCAATTGAGGCTGGGAAGTGGTCAAAGGTTGACATCTGGCGTTAACTAGAATCACATAGGTTCCTCTCCCATGTTTTGCTCATCCCCAGAAATATTTCAGTAAATAGGTTCTAGGATAAAAAGAAATTGCCCTTCTCTGTCTGTATAATTATTGCATGTTTAGTCATCAAATAAGTTCTCCTGGTTAGTTGGAGATCTCAGCCAACTGTTTCTTCAGACTCTACAAGGAAAGCATGAACCAGAAACAGAGGACTTCCTTTGGATGAAATATTTTCTAGAGGCAGATACATAAATGTCTTCATAATTTTTAAGTGTAGCAGGTTCTTCCCACTCCGTTGCACTCCTTTGAGAAAAGGCAGCCTGGCTTTTCAAAAATGCCAACCCTGGGAACATCTGCAAGAAGATGTGGTGGGTTTTGCTGACATCTCTTCTTTCCAATGTATTTCTTTTTCTTTTTTCTAATAGTGATTTCATTTTTTTTCAGTGATTGTCTGTCCACTCAATATTTGCATATTTATCCCTACCATTGAAGAATGGTTAGGGAAAATAAGAGAAATAAGAGTAATGGATGAACTAACTTTTTTCTTGAAAAAGAATACCGGGAATCCGATAAAGAGGACAGATTGGACTCTATATGAAAATTACGAGAAAGAAAGAAGTAAATAAGAGGAATATTTTGTTGTGGTTATATTGGGAACATTATTGAGGACACAACACCTGATGGAGAGATGGAAGTCAATTTTTATTTCATTTTTCCCCTTTTTTATTTTTTGTTTTTCACCATTCTAGCTTTTTATTTTTAGCATCTTTTGTATTTCATAGTTATTGTTTTTTCTTTTTCTCTTTTTACTTGTGATTTTTGATTTTTTGATTTTTTTTTCTTTTTGGACTTGGGGGAGGGGTGGGGTCTTTCTATTTTTTTCCTACTTTGCTATCCCTTTCTATAATATTCACCCTCTTTCACTGTTATTTTCAAATATTTCAATAAAAACTATTTAAAAAATATTTGCATATTTATCAGAAATGCACTTTCTCTATTCAGTTGACATTCTGGTCATTCTGAGATAGTTTTGTTTATATAGTCAAGGCCATACTTTATGATCACAAAGAGTTTCGTCACTAAAACAAATTTCACAGAATTTGGTCTGTGTACAGAAAAGCAGGTGAAACGGGGGGAACCGTCTTGTTTTGATCACTACTGTCGAGGTCCTGTGCCTTTCTGTATTCAGGTATGGCAGCCATGCCGCATTGTTTCCCCTAACTTCTCTCCATATTCTGGCATCGGAAGTTGGGAAGGACCTCACCCAGAACATGCAGTCTTTCCTCCTTTTCCATGCGCTACTGCAGTGGAGTCCCACGGTCAACTATCAGAATTGGCCTTAGGTTATGTGATGGACTCCGTTTTAGCAACACAGAAATGGAGTGAAACTGTGTGGGATGAAGTCCTTAGAGCACTTACAATTTGGGGCTTCAGCTTTGCAGTGCAATGGATCCTGGGAGTTGTAGTCCCAAAATTACTTTTCCAATCTCTGGTTTCTCACCTGCACCTCATTCAGTACCATTTTCAGCACATGAGCAGCCCAGCAGGTATTAAATTTTATTTATTTATTTAATTATTTATTTGTTTGTTTATTTACCACACTTTTATCCCACCGTTTTCAGCTCGAAGGCAACTTTGCAACAGAAATTCTGGATCACTGTAACAACCACCATTTCAGACTACACAGAGAAGCCATTGAAATCCGCAAGTATGTGGACAATTTCAACAGAAAGGAGGAAGGCATGTACTGTCTAAAATTGGGACAGTACATAAAGAGCAACAATCAAAAAGCAGGGGAATTCCAGACAAGAATCAATCAAGGCCAGCTAACACCTCCCAGCAAAGGATTCCCTCAGGCTGCAACCAGCCAGGCCTTGAAACTGCAAGGCCATTGAATGCTAATCAAGGTGGCAGATTGGAACATTCACACCTGCCTAAGGTAGACAAGAGTTCTTTCTCCCACCCTGTATATTCCACAGAAATATAAATCTCACTTACTTAGTTTCCAACAGACTCCTCAACCTCTGAGGATGCCTGCCATTGATGTGGGCAAAACACCAGGAGAGAATGCATCTGGAACATGGCCATACATCCCGGAAAACTCACAGGAACCTAGGTCCTGCCCCATCTTACCTGTGCAAATGTATCTCCCTCTATGAACCATTGTGGATAATAAGATTTTCTGGGGAGGAACAGTTGGTGGAGACGAGAGACAGGGCCTTCTCAGTTGTGGCCCCTCACCTGTGGTAATCCCTCCCCAGTGATATCTGATCAGCTCCTTCCCTTCTAGCCTTCAGAAAGAAAGTTAAAACATGGCTATGGGACCAAGCTTTTGGAGAATATCTGCAGGGCAATTAACGAACGTAGAATCTGTGCAATGACAGATTGGAATGGCCCAGAATTACAATTTTGGATTATGTGTTTTTAACAATTGATGTAACTGCTTTTAGGTATTTTTAATTCTCTGGTTTTTAATGGACATATTTACCAAGTGTATGTTTTTTAAGGCATTGAATTGTTGCTAATATGTGAGGCTGCTCTAAGTCCCCCTTGGGGTTGAAAAGAACAGGGTAAAAATATGGTAATAAATAAATAACTTTTCAGCACGCTGGAGCCCCAGCACTTTTCTCTTTTCTTTTCACAATTTACAGCTCAGAATATGTCACTGGGTTTATTTTTCTTTCCATCTTGTCCACTCCCACTGGTGGAATGTGGGTTAGATAGAAGTCAGCAAAAAATATTATCTCATTCTCATCATTCCTGCAATTACTGGAAATGAAGTTGAAAGATCATATTTTAGGGTATGTGAAGAATACATTGTTGTATTCTTCACATACAATAATGAAGAATATTGAAAGTAAGGATATTGAAAGGATAGAGTTGGGAGAGCTTTTTCTGTTGTTTTTCCCATTCTGAGACTTTTTGAAAAAACTTAATGAAGTCTTTTTGTGAGAAAACTATCCTTACAAAATGAAATGTTTGTGCACAAAATGCATTTTTTTCTACAAAATCTCCAGTGTTTTTTTCTTGCAAAAATCCCTTTACAAAAAAGAAAAAATGTGGCTTTTAGTTTGAATATGTATTGATGGATTGTAACTGGATGTTGTAATATTGTGCTGGTACGGCTGTACCAGAAGCTCCAGCTTTATTTGCTTTGTATTAAATGTTTGTTTGCAGTCCAATGTTCAGGGACTCTGCAGATAGGTGGCTTCCTTTGGTTGCAATCATAGGGCTAGTCACCTGTCCATCATCGTTAAGTTTTGGTCGCGCCCCTTGCTCAGGGCAATTGGGAAGGAAAAGGAGCCATTTTTTTTAGTTAGTCTCAGCAAGGAAAACCAATGTATAGGATGTGTGCAAGCTTCCCCTGTACAAAAGCTTCAACCCTCAAGAATTTCCGGGGGAGAACAGTTTTAAGAGTCTTCAAAGACTTCCCAGGGAAACAGCCCTAAAGACCAAAGAACTCCAGCTGGAGAACATCTAAGCCTTTTCTGGTAGGTCCACTCGGCATTCGAGAAGCAGTTCGACCCGGTAGCGGAGCCCACATCAGTAAGGGTTAGATTACAGTCAACCTGGGAGAAGTTAAAAAGGGGACTTTCCTTTAAAGTAAAGAAGAAGTTATTGAAGACAGTTGCCTGTCCTTTGTGGGCAGTTTAGGAAGCTACCAGTTGCATAAAAGCCTGGATTCATTTGTTTAACTTTCTGAAGACAAGAAAAGTTTCTGTTTGATTGTTCATTAATAAAAGATTTTGTTGCACTTCACAAGCCATCTAAAGACTATTTGTGGTGGAAAACCTCTGAGAACTTCTCTTTGGGGCCCCTGGCTTCCCGCTGGGCAAAGGTTGCACGTCCTGTTCCAAAGGAAATTCTTTACAGGCCCAGCGTTGATGTTGAATTGTTTTAATGTGTATATATTAATATAATTTAAATTGTACTGATAAGGTTTAATGTAAACAGCTTTGGATCTCCTTGTGGAGAGAACAATTGGGGTGTTATAATAATATAACACCCCAATAATAATAATAATAATAATAATAATAATAATAATAATAATAATACTAAGAGTGACAGCAGAATTGATGAGAAGCACCTGGAAAAGCTTACACGATATGAGGATTTAAAGACAGAACTGCAAAGACTCTGGCACAAGCCAGTAAAGGTGGTCTCAGTGGTGATCAGCACACTGGGTGCAGTGCCTAAAGATCTTAGCCTGTACTTAAAAACAATCAGCGCTGGCAAATTAACCATCTGTCAGCTGCAAAAGGCAACCCTACTCGGATCTGCACGCATTATTCGCTGATACATAACACAGTCCTAGACACTTGGGAAATGTCAGACATGTGATCAAATACAAAAGCCAGCATAGTTATCTTGCTTGCTGTTTACTAATATTGTTATGTATCAATAATAATAATAATAATAATAATAATAATAATGCTGCAAAGAGGGATCAAAAACTGTTTTTTTTCCCCCCACAGGGATGTTTTGACATGTCAAAGGATTTGAGAATATCCCATAAAATTCTACTAGATACTGACAAAGCAGAATTTTCAGATTCCCAATTTCAGAATTTGCTTCTCATGCTTGTTTGTCTTAGATTCACCATCTATGAATGCATCCTTTGAAGAATTTGCAAAGGCTTTAGACTTTATTAAGGACAACACTGATACACTAAATGCACTTTGTGTCTTCTTCTCTATGTAGAAAATATAGGCAGAAATCCTGTACTTCCTATCCATTCTTGAAGACTTTTTAAAACTTGGTTAAATATATCAACCATAACACAAAATTGGAGAATTCAGTTACGCAGGAATTTGCTAATCATCCTGCCACAGTTACAAGCCAATTTCATATTTGTGTGTCTATGTTACTAGCCCATTTCATTTTGATTTTAAAATGTAAGGGTGTCACAAAAGAACAAGAATTTCAATGAATGTCAGTGTCATGCCAAAATGGTGCCATCAGTCATTGACAACAGTGAATACCATTTGGGCCATTTACAATACATATCCTCACATTTTAAAACCTAGAAACATTTCAGATTTGCTCTCCTTCCTTCTTAAATTTCAGGTAAAGTAAAGTCAAGGAATTACAACCAGACATAGGTTGAGAGGGCATGTTGGTACATAGTAATTGCATCTTCTTACAATGGGATTCACATAACCACAGTTGCTAAAATATCAGCGCTCAACATTGTCCCACCTGGTTAAACGATACCATAGAGACCAGAAACATGTTAGAGACCAGATTATTAAATATTATGGTGTGTTTCTTCTTTAAAAAAAATGCATGTGAACTGTGATCATGTGAGCATCAAAAGTATCTATATAAATAAAAATGTGATGTTCGTTTGTGGGATTAACATAATTCAAAAACCACTGGACAAATTGAGACCAAATTTGGACACAATACACCTATCAGGCCAATGAATGACCATCACTCATAAAAACACTGAAAAACACATCAGAAGAGACTTAAAAAGCCAAAAAGCAAAAAATGCATTGTTGCGCATGCACAAAAACACATATATACACAAACACACATATATACACATATGCACAAATGTACACACATATATATACACACATAAAAAACATATGTACAGACTGGGCCACAGCAACGCGTGGTAGGGGACGGCTAGTATGAAATAAGTGTTTAATTCCAATATATATGTCTAATACAGAATGTCTGATTCCTATATATAACCCAGGGATGGTAGATGAAGGATAGAGGCCAAGTCTAATACCCTCAATGCACAAGAGTCCGTTATCAGCACCACAATTAGCCACAAATGTTTACCCGTAGCCACAAAGAAGTTACTGAAGCTGCTGTCAAGACAACCATAACAGAAAACTCTCCCATGCTACAAAGCATCACCCAAGAGTTTCTTCCTATATTCTGAAAGGAACGAAAAGCAAGAGAAAATGGATAAGACAGAAAAAAAATAAGTGAGGGGGGATTCTGCCACTGACAATGTGGTGCACAGTTCTTTCCAATGCGCTAGTGGCTGATGAGAAAAGTAGAGATAGAATTGATAACAGGGTCTGGAACAAAAATGGGGTATTGTGGACGTTGTGAGGTGCTGCCATCTGTGCTGAGGATGAGCAATCCGCAGAGATCAAACTCAAGCAGAATCCAATAGAGGGGGATAATGGTGTCAGTGGTCTATAAAGAAGACTTTCTTCCTGGTTGTGGAAGCAGGGTAGAATCAGGGGGAAACTGGTCACATCCCAGTAATGAATTATTGGTCTGTATAATCTGAAAGAAGAAGGAAACAAAATTGTCAGAAAATCCTATAACCGCCATATTTTACAGGCATGTAGCAAGACCAGATATTAAATAGGTGTATACTGTTTCACCAGGCCCGTAGCCAGGATTTCGATTTGGGGGGGGGTGAGTTTTTTTCAGGGGAGGTTTCAGGGGGGCTGAGTTTCGGGGGGAGGCTGAGTCTGAGTGAAAGAGGGTCTACCCTAGCAAACCTTTTGCATCATTACCCCAATACCCCCATGCATATGGGATATATTGAGTATGGTGATCAGATCATGATATGAATAAACATAACAGTTTAAATAATGCACCAGTAAGGCCTTTTCGCAAACCACCATGAGAATTTGAGGGGGGGGGCTGATGCCCCTCAAGCCCCCCCCCCCCGGGCTACATGCCTGTGTTTCACTAGTCTTTGGAAATGCAACACTTTTGCTTTAATTTCAAATGTCAAGTCATTACATAACACTGCTCTTTCAATATGGCCAAGTTGAAATGTCAAGTCATTTTTCCATCCCTGTTACACTAAGTGTGAATTCATCTGAACTATTTATAGGTCAAGGATTGTAAAAGTGCAACTACAGACTGCATGTCATCCATGCACCCAGTCTTCATAGCATATGAGCCCCCAGGAGATCATCCAAGTTCTCCTGACCCTTCAGAAATGAAGAATACAATACCTGAGGCAACAACATAGAACAAAAAGTGAAAGGAGTAACCAAAGGCATTTACCTTGTTGATCATTATATAGCATTGCTCTTTCAATATGGCCGAGTTGAATTTTGACTTTGCACATCTGTTGAAAATTTGAAATAAATGTGTTATGTTTTTAGAAATAGAACATGGGATGACTGTAGAAACAAACCTGCACAGGTAGTTGTCTTTTCAACAAGCAATGGAGGGAGATCAGAGGCCTCCTGAAGTTCTAGAAAGCACTGGTTTAGTCTCGTGTCCTTACCTGAAGCTGTGCAGTATTTCCATTTCTGATCTCTGTCAAAATCATCTGTGAGAGAACACCAGCCAGTCTGGGAGTTAAAACCATCAGTTGTACAAGTTGAGTAAGACTTGCCTCCATAGATGAATGGAAAGACACACAGCTTATTAGGAGGGTTATGATTTCCTGGAAGTGTGATGAGAGCAGAAAGAAGAGGACTATGAAGCAAGCAATGGGGGTATGAGAAGGTACATCATAGATAACCATAAAACGATTCAAGAAGAAAGAAAGTTAGAGGATGGATAGATGGATGGAGAGAGAGAGAGAGCTCTCCTGTCTTGTAGATGATAGATAGATAGATAGATAGATAGATAGATAGATAGATAGATAGATAGATAGATAGATATCCTCCGTCTTGTCCTTTAGGATTACAGCATCACTCTGCACATGAAAGAGACTATGGCCGATTCTTCAATTCCCATTGCTATCCCAAATGACACAGGTTTGGTGTTATAAGGAACTAACAGGAGATAGTTGAGAAGCACTTCCTTTCTTGGCCTCTGAGGAGACACCTCTGAAAGTGTCGGCCACAGATTCAGGTGAAACACCAGGAAGGAATACTACTGGAACATAGCCACACAACCTGAAAAACTTACAGCAACCTGGTGATTCCTGCCATGAAAGCCTTCAACAACACAGATATTAGTTCCTTGTGAAGAATCACAGTAAGAAGGGGAAGGAAGGAAGGAAGGAAGGAAGGAAGGAAGGAAGGAAGGAAGGAAGGAAGGAAGGAAGGAAGGAAGGAAGGAAGGAATTTTAACCTTAGTAGAATTGTTCCTCTGAAGCTGGTATTTGCATTGTGTGTGAATCCATTACTGGTGCCAACAAGAAATTGTTTCCTCTCCACCACAAATAGGCACATTTATTTGGAATGAACCCTTTGAATCTTAGTGACACTAGCTCCCAAGGAAGCACAAATATAATTGACCTCTATATCTCAAGGCAAGTATTTTTTCCCATCCAGCTCAGTCCAGGACATTCTGATTACCTGAAAGTGAAGGCTGCATTCGTGATTTGCCTGTCTCCAGAGGCTCCACATTTTCAAGTTTTGTGTCAGCACAGAAGCTGAATTTGAAGTCCACATCATAGTTCTCTGTTGTTGCACACCAATATCTCCCATGCTGTTCATCCTCATTCGTACAACTACTGTGTTTCTGATTTTTGTAGGTAAAGGGGAAGAAACAGGGGGCACCATTGGAATTTCCTCCATACTCTATAGTGGGAAAGAAAGCAAATATAACAAGAGGCAAAGTTAGGCATATAAATCTTTGCTTATTATATACCTTTCCCCCAAGACACATTCATACAATTATGGATCTTCTTTGTAAAAAACTTAGCAAAGATGCTTTGCCTGTGTTGCATTTTATACAAAATATGATATTTAATCCTCACAAAAATTTTTGAAGGAAATATAATGAACAATGTATTAGAACTACTATCAGTCTTGATTAAACCCGACTATATATACAATGCTGAGGAACAAGTGAACTGTACTGGTTGAAAACAATTCTTCGATTAAGAAGAATTGCTATGGAGGAAGCAGGGGCAAAACTAGGGTGTTGAAATAAAATAAGAATTCAGGCCCCCATGACATTTTCTTTTCAACCACAAATTTCTTGTCTTGCACAGAGTGAGATACTTAAAATCAATGAATTGTCAAAGGCTTTAATGACTGGAATCACTGGGTTTTTGTAGGTTTTTTGGGCTATATGGCCATGTTCTAGAAGCATTCCCTCCTGATGTTTCACCTGTATCTATGGCAAGCATCCTCATAAAATCAGTCATATCAAAAACTTTTTATATGCATTATTGCATTCCTCTGGTAATTTGGACTGTTCTTATTCTTTGGAAGCCTAAACTATATTTCTGTATGCTCAACTGATCTTTCGTTGTTCTACAATGCTAAAGAACTTGGGGACTGAACAAGTCCAATAACAGACATAATTTTATGGGTGGAATAAGGGCATCCCTGCAACTACATCCCTAACTCAATTTCTCCCATGGCTCCATTTCTTTGCCAGTTAAATTTTATCTCCTTCCTTAATTTTTTCCACTTTATTTGAGCTTATCTATTCCCCCATCAGACTGACTACTTTTTCACCAATTCCATAATGTTTCCATCTGAAAATGCAGGTCTATTCTCTACCCAGTGAACCAGATCACTTATTGAAAATGCAGCCATTCAGCATAGTGAATCACACAAATGAAAGTTATTGATCTTCTCTGTGACTTCATACAAACTTTAATGTACATGTTAATGTTATTTGTTTTTTCCCATAATTAAAATCTGCTTGTGCATATCATTTCGACAACAGATGTTCACATTTTTAAGTCTACATGTGGTTTTATGCACATTTTGTTTCTCTTAAGTACAATGGGAAACCTCACAAATGTGCAAATTTTATCTTACATCGTTGTTGGGTATGCATGAAATAAAAATGCATGAAATAAGTTGTTAAAATGAAAATTATGAACTCAATCAGATATGACAACATCCCTTTTGCCCCTTCATTTCCCTCTCAAAATCTATTCCATATACAGTTTTTTTCTAAAAGATTACCTCCCTAATTTGAAACCTATTGTTCTCCCCATTACTATGCTCCAAAGACTGAGTAAGTATTCTAGTTTACACTAGCAAGATAATTCATGCTTCCCTTCCATGACCAACTCATGTTTAGTACTCAGTAACCAATAACTGACTTCTATTCCATGCGTCTTATTGTTTGTCGCTCACATACTTCAGAATATTGTATGGAGTATTGAACACTATGGGTTGTCCAATACAACTCCCAATCCCACTAGACTAGTAGTAACTACAGTTTCATCTATCAACATCTGGCACAATATGTCCTCAACCTCAAGTGGAAATCATTCATTTCAGTTGGGTTTGCTATTATTCACAGTTTCTGATTTCCATAGTAAATTCAGGAATATAATGTAGTTATCATAACAGATGTGGCAGGATTTCAATACAATTTGTAGTTTTCAAGGACTGTGTTCCCTGACCACTACAAAACCTGGAGTCCTTTCACAATATGCCAATTTAGAACTTTCACTGCCATTTTTGCATCCTGTCAGAAGCTGGAAGGTGTATTCAAAATTTCATGCCAAAGCACTCTAGTGATTCACCAAACCACAAGCCCCAGGACTCCACAGGATAGAACAATGAGAGTTAAAGTGGAATACTAGCATCATAATTATGAGGTGCGAATGTGCCTCTGGTCACTGGGTAGACTCAGTACCTTCAGTTGCACACGCTCTCCATTTGCTGTCCTTTTCATAGTCTGAGGTTGTGGCACACCACAGCTGCCCATCTATTGACCCGTCTTTAGTGCACGAAGAATAGGATGTGTTCTTGAACATGAAGGGGAAACTGCAGGGGGATTTTTCTGAGAAGGAAGCACAATAGCATACAGAGGACATTAACTCAAGCAACATAAACAAAGGATCTGACCAGTAAGACCAAATTCAAATGTGTTTGGATATTGCTTTCTTGTAATAGCTAACTAATTGCTTGTATACAAAATAGATTTCATGCTGTTGACACATACGGCAATTCTATGAATGGTGTTTTGAAAAATGAATAATAAATTAAATAGCAGATAAAGGAGAACCAATCTACCCTAGGACCCAATCCATGAGAACACGTAAGAGCTCAATATTAACTGGGATCTCAATGGAAGGCAAAGGAGGGAGGTTAGTCCTGACTAGGGGCCTCTTCATACGATCCTTTTGGACTGTGTCATTGTGCCGGCAATCACTGGCAAAAGGGAAGGTGTGTGGGACAGCTCATTGCACCCCATGTACTCTTCCTCCTTCCCTCATCACATGGAGGGGATTAAAAGGGTGCTTTGGTACCCTTTCTCTTCCCCTGTCAGATAGCAGAAAGGGCAGCAACACGTGTTGTCCCATCACCCTTTCCTCCAACACATGGATAAATGGGGAGGTAAGTGCAGGTAGCTCTGTCAGAGCTACCCCAAATACACTTTCCTCCACATAGTCATGGAGGAAATGCCTTTCAGCGCTCCCCCCAACTTTTGGAGGAAAGTGGGCAGGACCTGCCATGTGTCTTGTGATAGCTCACAGCAAGCCCCGTCCTTGCCAAGAAGCAAAGTGGCAAAAGGGGGCAAAAATGCTCCATGTGCAAAAGTGGTTGGACTCTTGTGCTTGTATGAGGAGTGGGTTAAAGAGCTGTGTATGTTTAGTCTGCAGAAGAAAAGGAGAGCAGGTTGTTTTCTGCTGCCCTATGGAGACTAAAACTTGGAGCTATGGGTTCAAAATACAGGAAAGTAGATTTCCCCCTGAACATTGGAAAGAACCTCCTGGCCATAAGAGCTGTCCAGCAGTGGAATTAACTGTCTCAGAGTGCTGTGGAGGCTTCTTCTCTGGAAGCTTTTAAACAAAAGTTGAATAGCCATCTTTTGGGGGTATTTTAATTGTGCTATTCCTTCATGACAGGAGGTTGAACAAGATGGTCCATGTGGTCTCTTCCAACTCTGTGATTATATATGTTCATATACACTTTTATTAACTTTAAAACAGAGATGGGGAATATTTTTGCTTCAGTTGAAGGTTGCATTCCCTTATTATATTTTTGAACTACAGTCTCCCAAGTACTTCAATCATTAAGACCAGGGCCCAGGCTAGCCAGGAAATTCTAGGAAATGCAACTCCAAAACAAGAATTTGTTTTGCATATATCAGAGCTGCTTTTGGTCCCAATCCTAGGGAAAATCAGGATGATGATGATGATGATGATGATGATGATGATGATGATGACTGGGTGCAGTGCCTAAAGACTTTGGCCTGCACTTAAAAACAATTGTCGCTGACAAAATCACCATCTGTCAGCTGCAAAAGACCAATCTGCACACGTTATTCGCCGATACATCACACAGTCCTAGATACTTGGGAAGTGTCCGACATATGATCGAATACAAAAGCCAGCATAGTGATCTTGTTTGCTGTGTACTAATCTTTTTATGTATCAAAGATAATTTTATTTATAACCCACCCTATCTCCCCGAGGGGACTCAGGTTGGCTTCCAGCAAAGGATGGGAAACATTCTGTGCCATAAAACAATAAAAGATGAACAAATAGCCCCCTGAATAAAGCATCTGTAACAAATTACAACAACTACGTACTCACAAAATTTAAATAATTAAATAAAACTTATAAATCTATTAAACCTACAAAGTAACAAAACTAATCAGTTTAAAACAATTAAAAACAATTAAAATAACCATTGTTATATAACTTATCCACCACTGATGGTGATAATATCTAGGCAGTGGGGTAGGGACAATACCAGAAATGGGTAGCATCAGAACAAGAGGTATCTTTTTTTCTACTTCTGCCATCCCCTTTTCTTTCTATTACCTTCCTCTTTTTTCTCTCCTCCCTATTTCCTTTAGTTGCCTTATCTTATCCTCTTCCTCTTGGCTCATGGTCTCACAGACTGAGGCCCAAGCTACCCATTCCTGAAGAAACCATTGCCAATTGCACAAATAACGTAATGTGTCATTCAGACATGACATGATATGAGGGGACAGAAGTGGTATAATCCTTAATACTAAGCATATCCTCTTAGTCTCATATGAGTCAAAGGATTTCCCTTTGTAAGGCACAGCCAAGCTTGACCTAACCTGACTCTTCCTATCTCCTGGGCTGCTTACCTGTGGGCTCACAAAATACTGCTGAGGGTCTCATATCATAGTTTCTGTTGACAGAGCACCAGAGCTTCCCATCAGTCCTCCCAGCAGTTGTACAAGATGTATATAACTTGTTTCTGTACATGAATGGGAAGAAACAGGGCTGAGTAGGGTAGCTCTCCTCTAGTCCTACAATAAAGGAGAAAATAAAATGGGGATTATCTTTCACCACTGGAAATGCTTCTCCAATCATATCACTCCATACGTCCCCAGTGACTGAAAGTTCTAACTCTGCATTACTTAAATTTGGAGGTAATTTCACAGAGAGGGAAACTCGGGCTGTTGCAATTTTTCCCTGCCCAAAACTCAATTTCCCCGCTAAAATCAATAAGAAAAATGCCAAACATGGCTGTATCATGTTTTCAATTTGACATTTCCATTCTGCACACCAAGGCCCTTCATGCTGAGTAATGAGTCAATGATGCTTTCATTGTACTTCAAACATCTCCCATCAGTCCTGCCAAGCAACAACCTAACCTATAATTCAGTCCACATACACAGCCACACATGTTCACATACTGTTATCAGCACAGTAACTCCACTTCCTGTTTATGTCGTAGTTCCCTGTTGTGGAACACCAAAACCGGCCTTTAGAAAATTTCCTAGTGCATGTGTAATAAGTACGGCGCTGGTAGAGAAAGGGAAAAACACATGGCTTTCCACCAGAATTGCCTCCATATTCTGAAAAAGAAACAAACAGAAACAGATTCTATGCACATTTATGTTTAGATTTTGTCTCTTCCAATCCTGCCTCTTCAAAAGATGTAGACTACATGTGAACAGTTGCTCATACTATCTAAAACCTATTGATGGCTCCCAGTCCCACATTGTTCTTATCACTTAACTTGCTACAATGAGTTCCCTCCACCTCTGTGCCAGTAGTAAGGTGACATCAGAGGGCAGGATTCTCCACCTTGCTATTCCAAAGCCTTCTGCTTCCTTTTTCATCTATATTTTATAGTTCTGTTTGCTTCTTTTTTGTTGTTTTTAATTTCATGCAATTTCTCAATTGTGCTAAAAGTAGTAGTAGTAGTAATAATAATAATAATAATAATTCTATCAAATTTATTAAATTTAATAAATTTAATAATTTTTAATAAATAAGAGTGTTGGAACACAATACTCCTAACCGCACGATCGTGTTAAAAAACAAAGTATGGATTGTCGATGTTGCAATCCCAGGTGACAGCAGGATTGAAGAGAAACAACTAAAAAAGCTGATACGATATGAGGATTTAAAGATCGAACTGCAAAGACTCTGGCACAAGCCAGTAAAGGTGGTCCCAGTGGTGATCGGTACACTGGGTGCAGTGTCTAAAAACCTTGGCCTGCTCTTAAACACAATCGGCGCTGACAAAATTACCATCTGCCAGCTGCAAAAGGCCACCTTACTGGAATTTGCATGCATTATTCGCTGATACACCACACAGTCCTAGATACTTGGGAAGTGTCTGACATGTAATCCAATTCAACAGCCAGCAGAGTGTCTCCTGTGGACTCATCTTGTTGTGTTTCTAATAATAATAATAATAATAATAATAATAATAATAATAATAACTTTATTTTTGTATCCCGCCACCATCTCCCCGAAGGGACTTTTGTACCAATTGAATTTCTGGGCTAATTTCTAATCTCCCCTTTTTGGGCAAAGTTTTAGAGCGTATTTTGGCCCCTCAGCTCCATAATTTAAAATGACGGCACCACAGTAGTGCAGAAGTATGATTGCAACACTATGGAATGGTGAATCAATGCCATTGTACTAATGAAGAGATGTGTGATATCACAAGTCCTTGACACAATATGTATGCGTTAACCTATTATTTGGTAACATGGTTGTAATAAAATAGTCAGTTGGTATAATTAAATCATTGAATCATACTATAATAACTTTTTAAAAGGTGGAAAGGTAATAATGTATTCCCTTGCCAAGGTTTAGACAAGCGAAATAGCAAGGCACTGCAAGTTGGCTATGTATTTCTCCTGATTTCAAAAAAAGTTTCTATTTCCACAGAAGGATAAACTATTTCAGAGAGAGGGGTTTGAGATTTGGATCCCAGATGAGAATGGGCACAACAGGAACCCCACTTAAAGTATCATTAATGTGGAAGAGATTTTCTGGACTAGATGATAGAACATGCATCTCTTTCCTTTTACAGAACCCAGCATGCCATTGTGTAAAATAAATAAATTCTGGGGTTCAACTCATTAGCAACTATTCAGGGACAGTCAGGTGCTTCCATGTCAGGAATGTGGCTTTTGATTTGAATTCCAGACATTTTAGAGAACTATCTAAACTGCTAAAACCCCTAACATGAAAGCCACCAACCACCACATGTTGATGGTTCTACAAGGACTCTACATCTCTCACCAGTCAGAGTACATGGTTTCCATCGGCGATGTTTGTCATAGTTACTGGTGACAGAGCACCATGGCTGATTCTTCCTGGTACCATTCGTAGTGCATGTTGAGTATAATTTGCCCTCAAAAATGAAAGGAAAAACACAAGGTCGAGAGACTGAAAAGGAAACAGAAGGAAATGGAAAAAGAGCAGAAGTGTCAGCATGGTAACATGAATACAGAGCTATAAAGATCAATTCATACTAGACTAGATGATAGGCTTGGTTGATAAAAAAAATGGTTCTAAACTCAGTTCGGAAATAGGAGGCACCGCTTTTTAAAAAAAATCAAAACTTTCCGAAACTTCCAAAACTTCCGAATCGATTCATTAATGCACATTTGGCTACTGAGCAGGCATGCATTGTGGGAAATATAGTTTAACAGCAGGGTAGGATATAGTTTTGCAATCCTACCATTGGGGGCCTGGCCTTCCCAAACTACAGTTAAGATGGCTGTGATTAGCCACACCCACCGCATCTCTTCTGGCCATGCCAGCCAAAATAATGAGATTTTGAAAGTTCCCTTGCTTTACTTTATGCTGTTTTTGGCTTTACCAAATTTACTTAAAGGTTGTGAAAATTAAAATAGCCTTGGGAGACTTCCAAACATTATGAAATATTTTGGGGAAAAATGGGTACATGGTTCAAATACGGAATCCCCCCACACACACCTTTCCTGCATGGTTCAAAACTCACTTCAAATTCATATGTCTACAGCCAAATTTCAATCAATTCTGAATGTGTCTATCCAACCCTACTAGAAGATGTCCTTCCCATTCCCCAACACACATATAAATGCCTTGAAGGGTGAGGTTTTGGTTTTTTTTTTCCTTTTTTGCTTGTTTCTCCTTCTATCCTTGCTTTTCTTAGCTACATACATCATCATCTTCTCCTTCCTTCTCTTTTTACATCCCTAAGTCATTCTTCATTCTCTCTCCCAACACCATCATCAAAATACTTGGTGGTAATATAATTGGATATGAGATAGATGGGGCATTCCACAACTTCACTTTAAGAAGAAAGAAACAAAAAAGGAGGGCAATGTGATATGTGAGGAACAAGGTTTAATGGGAAAAAACAATCAAACACAGATTTTTGAAAGGATTTTATTTATTTTTCTACAAGGCTAACAACTCCCATATGTTAGGGGCAGTTCTTACAAAAAAATATTTCAACTAGAATTGGGAAATTTTGTTTGTTTATGTTTTTTTTTCAGTGCAAAGTTCGTAAAACTTAATTGACAATCTTTTCTCATTTTTAGACATCAGCCAGCATTCTCTTGGGAAGAACGAACTTGAACAAACACATTAAATCCTTAAATGAGAAATTCATACATAAATAAATCCGTTGGATTTAATATGTGTACTCTAATCAAGACTAAAACAAAATTAAACTTTTGCAATTTTTTAGCCTTTTTAATGACATGTAGCGAGCAGCTATGGTTGACATTTAATGTGTCATGCTCAATGACATAACCAGAACCTATTCTTTGATATTGCCAGGGTTCATCTCCATGACATTACAAGATTCTACTTCCCCAATGTGGACCTCCAATGTAGCTATTGCAGGATGTCCTCACCACTACAGTAGTAAATGTCTCTGAATTTCAGCCACTTGACATTGCAATTTGCTTTGTATAAACCAACAAAAAAACCTTCAAACAAAATGTATTTTCAACATGTCAATTGGTGCCATGTCATTGTAATATATCAATGTAATATAATGGGATAAAAGTGGCTCCAGGCTTTTTGTGAACAAACGCTGATACAGAGAACCCTCATCTTGCTCTGATTATCAAGCGATTGCCAAAAACCATGGCTTTTAATTAAGTGGATACTAGTGTTCAAAGCACGTAAAAATGATCCCTGTCCACAACTGGCCTTCATACTTTATTAAAATGTTATTTGTCATGTTATTGTATTCACAACTTGTATTTTCTGGCTTTGGATGTTTGAATAATTGCAGAATACATTCAATTTTGCAAATACAAATATTTCATGGTTGTGGAACATGGTATCCATCTAAGAAGAGACCCCACAATATGAGTGGCATGGTGGGGAGGGAGTTCATCCCATGGGGAAAGTGTTTCATTAAAGTTTTGGATGAGATTTCTCCATGACCCAGCAAAAAAAATGAGAAGGATCAAATGGGAGACTTCTTACCTTCATTTGCAGCTTGGAGAAAGGGAGTCCAGATGTACAAGAGGAAAGCTATGCATAAGGCCATCTCCACTCCCTTATCAAAGAACAGGCATTGTGCTCACTCTTTTTACAAGTCCCACTGGGCAACATCTTCTTCTGACTGCTAGAACAGGAGGAGATATACAAATGCTTTCCGTACCAGAAGATGAATGAAGACATAAAATTGGTTTGTTCTATAGCTTAACTTTTGCCTTTTCCAACAAATAATCCTTCATTGATTTCAGCAGTAAAGTACTGCTCATATATGACCTCTTCACACTGGGCTAAATTCGGCTGCATGCACCAATTTTGTCCGGGTCATCTACTGGGCCAGCCAGCTCCCATCAGATGATGCCAACATGGCTCCATGGGTGAAGGAGGGCACAGCCAGTGCATGCCACCACCAGGGCAACATGGAAGGGCTCCTGTGTTCCCACTGGAATCCATGGAGGGAAGCCACACATTCATGCTTCCCTCCATCTGATTGACCTTAGCTTGAGCCGGGCAATGCAGGGCTTGGGACACCAGGTTCCTCACACTCCTCTACAAAGTGGAGTACCTCCGGCGGCCGTATGACAAGGTGTTGAGCTTTGCCATACACACAAAGGGAAGAAAATAACCAAATCTATTCATTCAAGAGATGCTTCATAGGAAGAAATAATGTATATGTTTTATATAGAGATAGACAGAGGTCAATGCATATTCGTCTGTTCTGTTTTAAACTATCTTCATTTGTGTTCTGCTTTAACTATGGTTGCTTAGTTGTATTATATTTATGGTTTTGTTAAGACAGAAAAGGAAAGAAGGGGGAGGGAAGGAGAAATAGAGAAAGAAAGGAAACCACACATGTTATTGTTTGTTTCTCAAAAGGAAAAATAAATAAATGTCATAATATTACTTGGTTCTTACGTTTCTACACAGACATTTGATGAGTTTCCTTTACTCTTCCCTCACCGACTTGCTTTGACTCCCACAGTGTCTCTTCTCCTTCAGGCTTTCCTTCGGATTTTTCTAACTGTCCAACTGGCCTCTGGAACCCTGCTATCCAATCAGACCTCAGCTGTAGAACAAACCAGTTTCATTCTAGACTCAAGACCACCAATGAGATAAATTTCACCAGCCAATGAGAAAGTATCATTCTGCATTCTCACATTTCTAAGCTTGACCATATTCAACCATAAATCCATCATTTTCTGCCCTTGCTCCAAGACAAAAGAGTGGTCATGAACTCGGAAGGAATGGCTGCAAGGCCCTTCCAATCCATCCCCATGTGCCTTTATTCTTGATGGCTGTTCAGTTGCAAACAACAGTGTTTGGCATCTGATTTCTAAATGGCAGTCCTACAAACCTAAGGACTGTCCAAGACTTACCCAGATTTCTATATGGCAGTTCTTGCAGAATTTCCTATAAACCTGAAATCTGTCCAAGACTGACACAGATAGAAGCAGGGGTGTGAGGATATACCATTTTCATTATCCTCTCGATTTGAACTGTTTAAATCTCAAATTCTCTCCATCTTGACTTGAAGTAATTTGCAAATTTGGGTAAATTCTCATTTATACTGAACTGAATATTCAGACCCATTTAAACTTACCAAATCGAATAGTGATTGTTTTTCCCAAACTGTTGTAGCTCCTTTTTATGCCAGTTGAAATTTGGTTATGGCTTATTATGGGATTCTAGAAGCTGTAATCTTTTAAAGGCAACTTTTCCAAGATCTGGACAAATCAGCCCATTTTGGTTTTCCATATTGTCAACTTCTTTCCTTCCTAAGTATGAGGTTTTTTATGTTTTTATCAGACTCATTCATTCATAGAATGGGAATCATTTCTTGAACTAGGAAGAGTCAGCTAGTTGCTTTCATGTTCTCAGTGGGGCAGTGGTTCCACTTTGAGCTATCCATAGTTGCTGTTTATTCATTCAATTGTTTCTAACTCTTCATGATCTCATGGACCAGTCAACGCCAAGATCCATATCGGCCGTCACCACCCCCAGCTATCTATAGTACTGAACTCTAACCCCTACTTAGGCCCAATCGGCACCTTTGCATAATGCAGTTTGAAACTGCATTACATGGACAGCATAGACTCATATAATACCATTTAACTGCATTGAACTTCATTATAGGAGTCTACACTAACGATATAATGCAATTTCAAACTGCATTATATGACAACATAGGTGGGATGTCATACATACATACATACGTACATACACACACAAACTGTGTGAAAATCACCTTCATTTAAAATTTGTACTAAAACCTGGATTTATCACCTCATAGATATTGAAATCACCAGTTTCCAGTGGAACAAAATGAAATAGCATCAAGGAAGCAATGATTTTGGAAGAGGGGAGAAGCCTCACCCTTCCCCAACCAGCCCCTGTTCAGGGGGATTTAAAAGAAATGAAAATATATGTAACTATTCCTCTATATATTTTTCATATAGGCAAATGAGTTCTTCACTTCTTGGCAGGAACCTATATTGCTTATATGAAAAATATTGTGCAAACCATTGCTCCATCTTGAAAGCTGTGCAAGGAAGATATCCCATTCAAGATTGGGCAAGCCCTGTTACACTGGAATGATTGCACCAGTTGTTGCAGTGTCTCAGAATTCCCATAAGTGTGGCACTTAGAGAGGATAATGAATTAGACTCATTTATCACAATAACTCCTTCCTGATAAATTGGAATTAAGGTGGACCAGGCCTGGAGTCAGGAGCCATTACGCAAAGTAAGCATTTGCAGTATAGTTGATTTTGCCCAGGGGCGCTCTAGAGGCGCTCTTGGGGGAAAATAGACCTTGACATATGCAAGTTGCAGTTACTGGGATGTATAGTTCACCTACAATCAAAGAGCATTCTGAACTCCACAATGATGGAATTGAACCAAATATGGCACACAGAACTCCCACGACGAACAGAAAATATATATCAGTAATTGGTTGGGGGGGGGGAGCACACCAAAATACTGTTTGCTTACCGTTGAAAATTACCTAGGGCCACCTCTGCCTGGAGTCTATGCCTAGACATATAACCATGGTAGTCCTGCATCTCTAATTCCCAGGCTACTATTTTTGTACAGCTATTTCCTGTGCAAAAAATTGCTGTAATTGGGAGTGTATTGTGTACCAAATTAGAACGTGGTTGTTTTGCACCAAAAATAGCATTTTCTGTGCAAGCTAAATATGAACTGAGGATTTGAAAAACATTAACTAAAAACATTTCTTGCTTTATCCTCCTTCCCATTCCTTATCACGGCCACTCTTGCCTAGAATGGTAGAAAAGGTCATAGAAAAATATTTCCCAATTTTGTTACACTTTGCCCGAAATTTTCTTTTCTTTTTTCTATATAATTTTATTGTGAATATATATGAGGAATGGAGAAAGGTACAAGAGTAAATATAAAACAGAGGCATTTTTTACATCTTGTATCTTCATATTTTCTATTGTTATCTAATACAAAAAGGTTTCTATGATTTTAAAAAGAAAAAAAAGAAAAAAGAAAAATTCTTTTCTAATCTAAAACAGGATAGAAAAGCAGCTGTATAGTGTTTTGAAACAAAGTACATAGAAAGGTTGGGGAATACAAAATAGAAAGCCCTAGCTAACACTTCCTATTCTGTCCTTGCTGTCTTCTTCATAATAAAAAAAATATTATTTTTTGTCATAAAACGTATCTTTGGTAGATAAGTGATTTGAGAGGCTCTGGAGAAAAGGATTTGATTCTCTGCTTAGCCATGCAATCACCTTAAGTGAACAAGTAAGAAAAAGTGCTATACAAAGAATTTTGGACATAGAAGCACAAAAAGATATAGCCACCTTCGGTAAGGTTGCCAGCTTAAAATGGCTGAGTCAATACAAACGTACTTTTCAAATAGCCAACTATCTAAAAATGCAAATACCAAAACATTTTAAGGAGGTATTCACTTGAGCTAGATTTGATCAGCTTGAGACAATGGTCAGATATGGGAGATTTAACAGCATCCCTTGTAATGAATGGAGTTGTATCTGAAATTGAAGATACAGCACACATATTATTTGATTGTAAATTGTATCAGAAGGTGAGAGCCTTCTACCTTGATCCATATATCAAATGGACAATGTATTGGGAATCTCATATCATAACAACATATTTTATGTGTGGCCAAGACTCAAATATAACAATTCTGTATTTAAGTAACTGCTTTGGGAGATAGTGATTGGGCATTCGGACAACGTGGCCAGTCCAGCAAAGTTGATGGCGAAGGATTGGAATGAACACTAGGTAATTTCTAAAAAGTCTATGGCAAGAACACATGCACATAATGGGTGCTCCATCAGGCAAAAGGTTGACGTTGCTCTTGGGAAAGAATGTCCAAACAAAAGAAATGAGCACCAGATGACATGTAGAATAAAAATGGCAAAGGAAAGTGTAAATTTACACAACACAGGAAACATAGACAGTTCATTCATATACCTAAAACACAGAGAAATACAGTGATCCATTGCCCTGTTTTTTAAAAAACGAATTTTTACTAACAGAGTTAAAAGTAGTTGATGAGTAAAGAATGGAAGAAGAACAGGAGAAGGAGGACCGCATATATGGCACTGATCGGGGTAAATTGTAGGGGTGTTAAGTAAATATGGTGTATATACTCTGTTTTATCAATGTTATCATATCTTATCATATTTATTTACTGTATTGTTATAAGTGTCTTATTTTAACTTACGACATAGAGTGCAATCAAGTAATATCAAGCCTTGTTGTTTTGTTTAGTATTGTGATATGGCCTAAGGGCTAATCAATAAAATTACTACTACCTTGGGTAAGTCTCTCAGTTTTAGAAAGTGTCATATGATAGGGTCACCTTAAGATTCTCACAAGCTGAAAAAGATTTGAAAGTATACAACATCAACAAGAGCCATCATTTTCCCAACTTGCGTACTGACTGGTTTGGAGTGGTGTGTTTTCTGGCCCGATAAATTTATTCATTTCTTTTTAAAATCTCTGCAAACTCATTCTTGAACAATGGGGTGGGGTGAATAACAACCATTTTAACATATATATATATATATATATATATATATATATATATATATATATATATATATACACACACACACACACACACACACACACAGGGAAGTTGCTTGGTGAGTATATGAAAGAGAAGAGAAGATGCAGAATCATAATGATAATGTGTAAGAAATGCTTCATTTCCAGTTTTGGAACAAGTAGAAACAAGAGAGAGCACAAAAACATTGGTCACCTCCCAGTAGAAAATTACCATAACTGAAATCATAGTAATTGGTATGGGTTGTCATCTGGAGAAAGATGGAAAATTAATAGTCACGTGTTTGAAAGAAACTGTGTAGGTACACTGACATCAGGAGCTAGGAGGCTCAAAAGAAACTTGAAGGTTTCTTCCACATTTTTCCAATCATTCTTGTTCCATCTGATCAAAGAGATGTTCATGCATGAGGTTCAGTTGTGTTTCACATACTTATGAGGAAGCAGACGATGTGTGTGAAAGTTCTTTATCATGCACCGTACACATTCTCAGCAGCAGCCCTTCTCTGGATTCCCACTCTTCCACTAAAACCCAGAAGATTTCAGGAGTGGCTTTGTTTCCCTCATTGCAGAGAGCATGAATTGACTTAACCTGGACCTTTTCAACTAATTACAATAAGTCCATTTACGATCCACATCGAAGTTATCGGTTAGAGAGCACCAGAGCTTCCCAGAGATTTCACCATCTGATGTACATGAGGAGTAAGATTTCTTTCTGTAGATGAAAGGAAAGGTGCATGGTCCTTTGGATGTAGCATCCAGTCCTTGAATGTGTTTGGGGGGAAAGTGAGAAAGAATGACTCAACATTTATGACAATAATACTTTCTTTATGCTGTCAGATGATCCTGACAAAAAACATCTACAGTCCTGTATACTCTACTCTTCTGCAAAATATCAAAATTGACCCCAACTGGGGTCAAAATATTTAGTATAACATGTATGGGGCAAAATGGAGACAAAATTCAAGAAAGGTTGACTCTTTTGATAGTAATGCTTTTTTCCATGTTACCAGTGGATTTTTATATTCAGTAAACCTGTAAAGGCTGACAAAATTGGATAGAGAAATTATCATGGAAAAATGAGGTAAACACACTGTTTGTATTTCCTTGCAGCTAATTTCCTTAAAAGGCACTAAGACATTTCCCACTCCAGGTGCCTTCTAGTGCTACTTAATTTTGCTTAAGGCACCCCTGGTCTTATCTATTTGGTGGTGTGAAAGAGAATAGAACTGGGGAATCCAGATCCAAATTCCTGCCAAGACAAAAATAATTTCTATTCTGAGTCTGAAATACATTATTTAATGGTATGTCATACTATTCTGCCTGCACATTAGGCATTGTGACTTGCTTTCATTTAGAGCTGTTCACACAGTAGAAGTCTTTAATGTAGACTTGTCAAGGACCAAATGCATTTACAGCTTCAACTGGTATATGAACATTGCTTGCTAACATAATATGCACACACATGTACAGAGAGAGAGTGAGTGAGAGAGAGAGAGAGAGAGAGATCTTACTTGTGTCAGCACAATAGCTCCACATCTTATCTGTATCATAATTGTTCGTTGTGGCACACCAGAACCTTCCATCCTTTGAGTTATCATTGGTACAGGTGTAGAAAGTCTGGTTCTTGTAGAGGAAGGGGAAAACGCAAGACTGACCTCCAGAGTTTCCTTCATACTCTGCAGATGATTGGAGCACATAATAAAGGTGAGACAGACTTAAAAGTTTTCCGAAGTGAAAAAAAATGTTATCTAAGAAGGATTATGCTCTGCCTTTGAAGAAGCAAGCTAGAAAACTCATAATCAAGCCATATGAGTGACTTGGAAGAAACAGTTAAATTTTTGTTGCACAAATCTTTATAAAGTCTTGGAGTAGGGGGCTGAATAAACTTGGACTACGATGGGCCACTAACTAGCAACCTCATCACAAAGGGCTAAATTTGGCTGCATGCTCTGGTTTAGCCCAGGTCACCTACAGAGCTTGTCGGCTCCCATCAAATGATGTGGGCACTTGCAAGCAACTCATCACAAAGGGCTAAATTTGGCTGCATGCTCTGGTTTAGCCCAGGTCACCTACAGAGCTTGTCGGCTCCCATCAAATGATGTGGGCACTTGCAAGCAATGGGGGGAAGTCACATGTTCCATGCTTCCCATGGGATCAACTAACAAAGGAGCCGGGTGATGCAGGGCATGAGGCATCGGGTTCCCCATGTCTCCCAATGAGGCAATGAGGCAAGTTTATTCCAGTGGCTGTGTGACAAGGGGGAAGGATACTAGGGAAGGATACTAGAGGGAAGGATACTAGAGACAAAGTTGAAGTACTTTGGCCACAGCAAAGCCTAGAGAAGACAATTATGCTGGGGAAAGTGGAAGGCAAAAGGAAGAGGGGCCGACCAAGGGCAAGATGGATGGATGGCATCCTTGAAGTGACTGGACTGACCTTGAAGGAGCTGGGGGTGGTGACGGCCGACAGGGAGCTCTGGCGTGGGCTGGTCCATGAGGTCACGAAGAGTCGGAGACGACTGAACAAATGAACAAGTACAAAAAGTGTGACAAGGTAGAACTCAGTTCTCGGTTATGCTAGATCTGTTTCTTTTCTTCTGGTTCAACCTCACTAGATTTTCCAAAAGTGTTATAATTCAGTTCCAGGTGCCCATTGCTATTCAAAAAAGGACAACATCCAGAAGATAGAGAGCAGTTCAGTGTGACTTAGGTTCCACAGCACAACATTCTGAAAGCACAATTGCTATGCACAGATCTTTGTGAAGAACAAATTACCTACCTTGAAGGGAACATGCTTTCCATTTGGAATCTCTGTCATAATTAGGGGTTGTGGCACACCATAGCTGGTCATCAGCAGCTCCCCTCTTAGTGCATTCTGAATAGGATATCATTCCCCAAGTGAAGGGGAAATGGCAAGGAAGGACTTCTGAATAAGCAAAGAAAATTATGTTTATAAGAGCAGAAGGTGAAAGTAGTGGAGCTGGTATTTTCTTTCAATCAAATAACAAGTTTCCATCTCACTCTTTTCCCAAAGAACTCGGGTCATTGTATCATGCTTCACCTTTTATCTCCAAGATCATTATGCAAAGTAAGCAAACCTAAAATATAGTGAGTGGCCTACTGAGCTTGCAGAGTTCCAAGCTGCAATGCACCATATCATAGGACCATCCACAAGCTGTTTTGTGCATACAAACAAGGTATCAAGATCATTGCCTAGCCAACAAGTGGCATTATCAACTATAATTCATGCTTGTCATCCCCTGAAACAGCACGGAAGAAACTATGGAAGCCTAATAACCTCATCAGATGAGGGTGAAATTGGTGACATGAGCCAGTTTGCCTTCTCCTTTATGATGGAACCCACTGGTTCCCATCCCACATTGCACTGTAACTTCCATCAGGGATCCATTGGAAAGGAGAAGGTGAACCAGCACACGCCACCATGGCAGCAACACATATTGCCTTGTATCAATGGGGGGAAGCCAGGAAGCGAACGCTTCCTCCAGGAGATGAGAATGTGGGTGAGTCGGGTGATGTGGGGCATGGGGCAATGGGCTCCCCACGCCCCTGGATGGATGGGCACCACTGGAATTGCCATGATCTGTGGCTATTTTGGCAGCACGTGTGAAGAGGTCCATAGGCAACAAGCATCCCACCATGGGGGTGGGGGGGGGATATGGTTTCTAAACTTCCTTTGCTGCTCAACTCATTTTATTTTTTGCCTGAAAAGTCCCAAATGTTCCAAAATATGTTCCAATACTGCTATACAGGATCAAACAAATAAGGTATGCTAAACTATAGTCTAATATGTACATATGTAAGGGATAAACCATTTGTTTTGGTTTTTTTCCTTTTTTCATATAAGAACAAAATTTCAGAGTTTTTCTTCCTACTGGCTAAGATACCTACATTTATTATTTATTTATTTTAAAATATTTTGAGAAAAAGTCATTCTTCAAAAACCATTTTTTGTGCAAAACTCAAGACCTTGCTCAGAAAATAGTGTCTTTCCATGTAGAAATATTGAATGTTTTTTATAAAAAATACATTTTGCACAAAAATGTCTCAAAATGAGAAAAGTTTCACAATAGTTGACTATCTTTCAGAAGTGTGTCTCACTGTGTGTCAACATACCCTTTCTCAACAAGTATAAGAAAATCTTATACTAATAATAATAATAATAATAATAATAATAATAATAAATTTATACCCCGCCACCATCTCCCCAAAGGGGACTCGGGGCAGCTAACATGAGACCAGGCCTAAAATTACAATATAGCAAAGTAAAATACAAACAAGCAAATAATAACATCAAAATAAAATACAGAAAATAACATCAAATACAAAATAACATGGTTAAGGAATAAAAGCACAATGGGCGGGCCATTGGGAGTATTCTTTATACTCCCAATGTATTATGCATTCATGCATGTAAATATCAATGCATATACAGCTCCTTTGTTGAGAATTCCCAGAGCAACACATTACACAATTATAAAACTATATTAATAAAATGTATTGTTTATTTGCTAAGTGAATATTTTACCTTTTCTGCAATAAGGCACCATATGTGGCTCAATCTTTGACACTTTTACCCTGGCAATAATTGTCTGGCTAAGAGAGAGACAGGGTGATTCAATAACATCTAGTGAATTTTATAGTTAAGTGGTAACTAGAATATGGATTTCCCAAATCTCAGCCTGAGAATAGAATGACTGCACTGCCCTGGTACAAAAAGAAAGAGCAGAAATAGCTAGACATGCTTCACTTTAGAACTGGGAGCAATGCAATTACATACATTGAAAGTCCATCAAAATAAAGGTGTCTTCAAGCTTCTGGGGAAAGAACCACTAAGAAAGAACTTGAACCCTACCTGAAGAATCACAATAGGTCCACCTTCGATCCACATCAAAGTTCTTGGTAAGAGAGCACCATAGCTTTCCTTTGCTATCCCCAGCAGTTGTGCAAGATGAGTAAGATGTGCCCTTGTAGGTGAAGGGGAAAACACATGACCCCTTGGGGCTTGCATCAAGTCCTGAAAAAACACAGTACAGGCAGTCCCCAAGTTATGAACAAGATAGGTTCTGTACATTTGTGCTTAAGTTGAATTTATATGTAAATCGGAACAGATACATTTTTAAAGTGTAACTCCAGCCATAGATAGATGGATTTGGATAGCATAGGGGAAGGTTAACACCCATGTTGCATTTGTTTTGCTGTCTGTGCGCCTGTTCGGAAGATTTCACTTCATTTTCTGTCCCTGTGATAATTGGAATTGGATTTTCAAAAAAAATGTTTTTGTGGGAACAGGGAATGGTGAGAAACATTCCATTGAGACACCTTTTTCCTATGATAACTTTTTCAGGAATGAATTTCCCTTTCAAGGCATAAATTTCTCTCTCTGCTCTGACCCTCATTCATACTATGAGTCATTTGTAAATCATGTTTCTAACTTGAGGACTCCATGTACATGAAGATATACAAGAGATCAGTAGTATTGTATTTGGACCCTTCCACACAGACTGAAAATTCATGATGTGTTTTGGATTACCCTGAGGCATCCAAACAACACCTCAGGTTAATGTGGATTAATTCAGAGTAAACAAGATTTCCCACTGTGGATTAATTCAGAGTAAACAAAATTTCTTTTTATGTGTTTAAAAAACACCTAAAAAGATCCTGACCTTACTGCAAGGTTTGGAACTTTTCAGTTGTTGGGCTGGTGGGGAGTGACTATCAGGACCACCTTCTGCAATTCCAGAGGTCAATCCCAATTGCCATCCCTGTTCTTCAGGCTCTAAGCCCAAAGGAGAAGGACGGCACCACATCTTGCCCTCTGCAATGAATTACTTAATTTCCTCATCAGCTTCCCTATGCGGTCAGAGGTTCCCTTGATGTATGGCAGGAACAAGAACAAGCCACGAGAGTAAAGATGAAGATCCACCCAGAGGAAAAGTGTTCCTGCCATAAATCAAGGGAACCACTGACAGCATAGGAAAGCTGATGAGGAAACACAACATACAAACAATCTACAAACCCACCAAGAAAATCCAACAAATGCTACGTTCAGCAAAGGACAAGAGGGATCCTCTCACCTCTGCAGGAGTCTACCGTATACCATGCAGCTGTGGACAAGTCTACATAGGGACCACCAAACGCAGCGCCCAAACAAGAATCCAGGAACATGAAAGGCACTGCAGACTACTCCAACCAGAGAAATCAGCCATAGCAGAGCACCTGATGAACCAACCTGGACACAGCATTTTATTTGAGAACACAAAAATGCTGGACCACTCTCACAACCACCATGTCAGACTACACAGAGAAGCCATTGAAATCCACAAACATGTGGAAAATTTCAACAGAAAGGAAGAAACCATGAAAATGAACAAAATCTGGCTACCAGTATTAAAAAATTCTAAAATTGCAACAGCAAAAACAGCAGAGAGAAAAACAGGCAGGGACATCTAATCACCTTTCAAGAAGAGTTTGCTCCAGGCACAGTCAGCCCATTGTATGCTAATCAAGGTGGTCAGTTGAAGGATTCACACCTAGCCCAACTTACAAAAGCCCTTTGTCTCACCCTGGTCATTCCACAGATATATAAACCCCTTTTTTTTCCAATTCCAGCAGACCTCACCTCTGAGGATGCTTGCCATAGATGCAGGCGAAACATCAGGAGAAATGCTTCTAGAACATGGCCATATAGCCTGAAAAAACCCACAAGAACTGAATAATCAACCTTGACTGGAGAGTTACAACTCTACTCATTTTCTGTTTCTAATGTAACACAATCCAATTATCTTACTTGTGTCAGCGCAGTAGCTCCACTTCTTATCCTTATCATAGCTTCCTGTGGTGGCACACCAGTATCTTCCATCCTTAGTGGGTTTATTGGTACAGGTATAAAATGTCTGCTTTTCAGCAGTGAAAGGGAAAACACAGGGTTGCCCTTTGGCACTCCCTTCATATTCTGCGAAGGTAGAGAACAGTGAATTATTTAAGAATGTAGGAAGAGTTATCTTGAATCATACCAAAGGCCTTTCTGGTCTTGATTTCCATAGTTAGATCTCTAGATGCCAATCTTTAGCTCAGGAAAATATGTAAAATTATTATCATGTTCCACAGTAGACATCTCAAACTCTTTGCTCACTAGAGCAAACTGGCATTCAGAAGCACAAGTCTATTGGCCCTGGAGGTAGCCATCATGATTACTAATAGTGGAATAGGTCCACAGATTAACAAAGCTCATCGTAAAAGGGGATATCTGGTGGGGATACAGAGTCTTCTTGGTTACTGCTCTGCAACACCCTTATTTATTTATTTCTCTAGAACTTTTCTATCCTGTTCTTCTCTACCTCCGTGGAGGGACTCAGAACTGCTTACAACAGCAAGCCTACAACAGCACTCCCTTCCCAAGAAGAGATCCCTCTTTGCTGTCCAATTTCCTGGAGAAAAGAGTGAGAAGGAGAGGGACAGCAGCAACAATAACAATTTATGTCTTCTCTAAGCAAAGATCAACTTATATGTTTGGCTTCTATATACTATTAACACCTCTAAGCCAGCCTTCAGGATTCATTTCATCCCAAGGTTTATAACCCCCACTCCGGGCCCATCCAGACAGGACCTTTATTGCAGGAACTCCCGCAATAAAGGAGGGGCTATCAGGATGATGTTCTGGACAGTCCCAAATTAATTTGCTACAAATCAGAAGTTTGTAGCCAATTAATTTGATAGTGGATTCATTCCGCACCTTCCGTGCCAGTCCAGACAGTATTCCCAGAGTTTACTGGGCTAAATTAACCCGGTAAACTGTGGGCATACCCACCTGCCTTCCCCCAAGCCCCTAGATCCCTTAGAAAACTAAGAAGAACTTACATGCCCTCCATTTGAAGCCTCGGCGGGCTCTTCCATCATGTAGAAATGACACACCAGAAGAGCGAGGGGGGGGAATCGTCCTGCCCCCCCCTCCCGAAGCCTCAGGAGAGCCTGCCGAGGCTTCGAATGGAAGGCACATAAGTTTTTCTTAGTTTTCTAAGGGGTCTGGGGGCTTGGGGGAGGGCCTCTGCATGTTCTCTTGGGTTAGTCCCTGATAACATTTGGCTACTTGAGGCAACAAACAAGATGGTGCTCCCTCCCATTTTATGTACAAAAGCTATGAAGACCAGCTTTTATTCTTGTATTGCAACAGCATCCTCCACTGTACCTGCAGGCAGGTGCAGGGAACAGGACAGGTTGTATAGCATATATTTGTCCCAGCAACTACCCCCCAAGGTGACCTAATGGTAGGGACCACCCTTTTAAATATGTAGTAGCAGTACAGAAATAAATCACATCAGGTGCAACAAGATGTTCTCCAGACTTTGTAGAAGGACCTATTTATATAGATGCATGTCTTCAAGTCACCTGCCAACTTATGGTGACTCCATGCATATTACATGGATGTCAGAGGTGATTGAGCCAGTTCCCTCCTCTGAAATGTAGCCTGCAGCACCTAGTATTCATTGGAGGTCTCCTATCCCATTACTAACTGGGGAAAGGAGAGTCAAAACCAATTATTGCAATAACACCATGCCTTACCTTGAAGTGAGCATTCTTTCCATTTACTGTCTGTGTCATAGTTGGCAGTCGTGGCACACCAAAGTTGGTCATTAGCAGATCCGTCTTTGGTGCAATTAGAATATGATTTCTTATTATAAATGAAGGGAAAGACACAGGGACGAGGTTCTGAGGAGGAAACACACGGGTGAGAAAGAAATTTAAGAGGAGCTATGATAAAGAGCTTGGTGCGAATTGTGTGATACGATGAATAATGATTAAACATCCAGATGACATTTGTCCCTTTGTAGAAATCTTAAAAGGTTGATGAGCAAACTATGCTCCTAAACTTTAACTCCCATAGTTCAATGCTATGGAATCATGGATGTTGTAATTGTACAAGGACTTTAGCATTTTCTACTAAATGGTTTTAGTGATTCATCAAATCACATTATAACTGTATTCTTAATTCACTTCTGACACGGTAAATAAAAAAATCAAACTACATGGCAGTTAAAGTATCGAACTGCATTAATTCTATAGTGTAGCTTCATCCTTAGTCAGAAAATATAATAATAAACTATATTTAAAAGATATGCCAAGTATATTTGCAAAGCTATTATCTTAGAGAAGTAGGGCGGAAGATTGTATTGTTTTTGTCTATCTTATGTTGCATATGGAGACATAGGCAATTATTTTGCCATAGTCTGATGTAACTGTCTTCCTTGTATATTTGTATTATATAAATTTCAATAAATATAATTTAAAAAATGTATTTCCAGCACAGTACCACATTTTATTTTCCTGTAGTTTCCATCTATGAATCCAATTTCCCAAATAACATTTCTGAAAAGTAGAGAGTTTCCCCAATCTGTTATTCTTTCCTACCTGACTGATCACAGTATGTCCACTTAGATTCTTTAGTGTAGTTGCTGGTGAGAGAACACCAAAGCTTCCCATTAGAGTCTCCATCCGTCGTGCAAGCTGAGTAAGACTTGAAGTTGAAGGTGAAAGGGAAGACACATGGCCCCTGAGAATCCGCTATTAACCCTAATTAGAGATGAAGATATGGGATAAACAGTGAGAGAAAAGAGCTGGATATTTATTAAAATAATAGTGCACCCATAATCTTGCTCCTCAGGGCCAAATTACAATATTATTGTGAGTAATCTTTGTGATAGTTGTTGGGGTAACTGTAGTATATGGAAATCACTTGATCTTGAATATCCAAATTATTACCTTCACAAAAGATAAAACCTGCTGGGAGTGGTTTATCAATATGGATCAACAACGCAGCCAACATTTTTTGAATATCTTTGAGGGCATGGCAATGAGAATGATCATACTGAGTATTTGCTTTTCAGAACGTCAGGAGAGAATGCTTCTAGAACATGGCCATATAGCCCGAAAAACCGACAACAACCCAGTGAGTCCGGCCATGAAAGCCTTCGACAATACATTTTTTCAGAATTTACTGCTATTATCACTGGGAGTGTGGCGATATTAAGTATCAGCTTCCACAATCCAATGATTCAATTGCCTGCCACTTCTGCAATGGCTGCTTGAAAGCTTTTAAAATGCATCAAGGAACCCAGAAAGAGATCCCTCACACCAGAGCTAACTTGGCTTTCACAACTCATACTCAGACAACTAAAGCATAGAAATGGAAACAGAATATAAATTCTCCCATGGCAACCCACAACAGTATCGTAATGAGAATATGCATGCCAAAACTCAAAACTGAGGATTTCCATTGGCTAACATCAAGAAGTACCCAGATAATAGAGATCATCCTCCTTACACTAGGGCTCCTTCTACACTCGGCTTATACTCGAGTCAAGGTTATTTATTATTTTACACGGTTATTATTATTATTATTATTATTACATTTATTATTTTACTCTATTATTACTGTTATTACATTTCCATTATTTTACTCTATTGTTATTGGAAGGATTCATAAGCATATTTACATTGAAGAAGGTTAGAATAAGATAGAATAAGGCTTTCATGGCCGGAATCACTGGGTTCTTGTAGGTTTTTCAGGCTATATGGCCATGTTCTAGAGGCATTCTCTCCTGACATTTCGCCTGCATCTATGGCATCTATGCTTGCCATAGATGTAGGTGAAACGTCAGGAGAGAATGCCTCTAGAACATGGCCTTATAGCCTGAAAAACCTACAACAACCCAGTTAGAATAATGGTTTAATCAGAGTTGGGCAGTCTTATCTGAAATTACAGTTTGATGTAAATATTCAAAAATACTGATGCCTCAGTTAATGTAATTGTATTGGTATCTATTTTTTATTTTGAAATTTACCAGTAGCTACTGCATTTCTCATTCTTGGCTTATACTCGAGTCAATCAGTTTTCCCATATTTATTTTGTGGTAAAATGGGGTCCTTGGCTTATATTCAGGACAGCTTATACTCGAGTATATACGGTACATCTTGGTCTAATAAATTAGGCTGGTCTGTAACAGAAATAAGATGTCCCAGGGTCCTAAATTTCATTCTTGGCCATTTCAGAACAAAAACATTTTTTTACAATAAAATTATCCCCCCGGGAGCTATGGACCGAAAATAAGGCTGGGTAGAGGGGAGCATGTGCAATCTACAAACTGCACATAACCCATGTCTGATCTAATACAGTCTGCTCTTATCCTAGATACCTTTTCATTTTAACAGGAGATGCCACTATGTACAAAGCAATGAAATATGTACCCATGGGCTGCAGACTTTTTCTTTTCCATGTACACATTTGATCAATGCATATTTCCAACATGTGTTCTTTTTTGCTTTTCAGATGTGTACATGTTTGCACATTTCTTCAAAAGTTAAGACACATTATTTGAACATATTCTCCCAAATGCGTAAAACATGTTTCAGCCCGAATATGAGCCATGCACGTCTATATCTTTACTTTTCAAATAAACTCCATTTTTGGGTAGACTGCCCAAAGACAATTCAGAAAGTATAAACTTAAAAAACAATCTGCCTAAAGATAAGTTTCCAATGCTTTGCTTGACTAATATCATTCAATCTCTTTTTAAAAATCCAATCCTACTGGTGTCAGCGCAGTAGCTCCACTTCCGATCTTTATCATAGCTCCCGGTTGTGGCACACCAGAATCTTCCAAAGAGAGCATTCTCGTTGGTACAGGTGTAGAAAGTTCGCTTCTTGTAGACGAAAGGGAAGGTACATTTTTGTCCACGAGAATTACCTCCATACTCTAGAAACAGAAGAATTTAGATGTTAAACAGTATGTACTGTAAAGGTATCCATTTGTGGCAATTAGCCTCTCTCCTGTGGAGGAGATTCTTGGGGTCCTTTGAAAGGATACCAATATTTTTAGACTGATCAGGGCAGAACAGGACATTCCCAACTTTTTATTTGCCTTATAGCTACAACTCTGCCCATTGTTTACCCACTTCAGTTGTTCTGTGTGTTTCTTCAAGTTATTTCCAACTTATAGTGGGCCCTAAAGTTAACTTATCATGAGGTTTTCTTGGCAAGGTTTATTCAAAGAGGGGAATATGCATTCTTCTGAGATTGAGAGTGCGTGACTTAAGGTTACTTAATGGATTTCATGGCAGAGCAGGGATTTGAACTCTGCTGTACAGAGTTGTAGTCTAATGCTCAAAATATTGCACTATACAGGCAGCCCCCAAGTTACATACAAGATAAGTTATGTAGCTTTGTTCTTAAACTGAATTCGTTTGTAAGTCCAAACAGGTACATTGTTTAAGTATAACTCCAGTCAAAATTATATATTTTTAATATATAATATATATATATATATATATATATATATATATATAGGGTAAAGGTAGTCCCCTGACATTAAGTCCAGTCATGTCTGACTCTGGGGTGTGGTGCTCATCTCCATTTCTAAGCCGAAGAGCCAGCGTTGTCAAGCCGAAGAGCCAAGATCATGTGGCCGGCATGACTGCATGGAGCACCGTTACCTTCCCGCCGGAGCGGGTACCTATTGATCTACTCACATTTGCATGTTTTCGAACTGCTAGGTTGGCAGAAGCTAGGGCTGACAGCGGAAGCTCACGCCGCTCCCCGGAATCGAACCTGCGACCTTTCGATCAACAAGCTCAGCAGCTCAGTGCTTTAACCCACTGCGCCACCGGGGGCTCCTATAATATGATATACAACAATATAATATAATAATATTATAATTATAATATAATATAGTTGTTTGTTTTATCTGTGCCTCTGTTCAGAAGATTTCACCTCACTTTCTGTTCCTGTGATAATTGGATTTTGAAAAATTTGGCTTGTTGTGGAAACAAGGATTGGTGATAAAGCTTCAAGGGAGACACCTTTTCCCCATGAAAACTCTTTCAGGAGCAGATTTCCCTTCCTTGAGATAGATTTCTATCACTTCCTATTGTCTTACCCCTGTTCTTAACTACGAGTCATTTGTAAGTCAGATGTTTGTGACTTGGGGACCGCCTGTACTTGTTTTACTTATTTCAATACTGGACCAAAATAGTGTTTTTGGGATGTATGTGAAATATCTCCCTCTAAAAATTTCTTCTTAAATATTGAATCATCTTCTCAAATCCATAAACTGCCATCTTCCCTTCAGCCCAGCATTTCAATATACTATTGTTAACATGTTGACCTAATTCTCTTTGTTAGTCTTGACATATGAGGGGAGATAGAAGGAGCTGGGCATATTACTTTCTATCAGGAGCAGTTTTTTTCTTCTTAAAACCCTGACTCGGGTGGTCACTTAATTTACACAATGAGGGAGAACATGACTAATTATTCTGACTCCACATCTCTCCATCACTGTCATTGTTCCCACAAAGGGATGTTATAATGGAATAACGAACCATAAGAAGTACAATGCTTCCACTTGCGATCCCTGTCATAGTTCTCCGTTGTGGCACACCACAATCTCCGAGAAACAGCACCATCCTTAGTGCAACTGGTGTACGATTTCTGCTTGTAAATAAATGGGAAGACACAGGGATAGAGATCTGAAATGGAAACAGAAGAAAAAGTTATAAGAATAGAGGCTACAAATTCAAATTCACAACAGTTTCCCTAGGAGCAGCTAACTAAGGAAAACATGGCACAAAAGTAGTATAGACAAGCAGAATACAAAATCTCATTTTAGTGTGGACCACTGCCAAAGATCAGCAACAGATGAACATTGCTGTTCCACTCACACTACAGACAGAGATGAGCATATTTTAGATCTTGTAGTATGAAAAGTGCATATAGTTGCTTCTAGATGAGCTATTGCTCTTCATGCCACATTCTTTGACCTAGATGTATGGACTTTGCTCACAGATGAGGAATGTAGTTACTCCATAGCTTAGGGAAAAAAGCATGCTCAGAAGCATTCTTACTTCAGCCCACACTTCAGACAAAGAGAGGAATAGTTAGGGTCAAACTCTAATCCAAGAAAGTTAGTATTACATTTCTATCACATTTTTTTATAATTGCACACTGTAAACTACATTTCTCAAATTACCTCACTCTTCTCAGTGCACCGGGGCTATGGTGCAGCTGGCTGGGAGCCAGCAGCATTAAGATCACTACTGACCAAAAGGTGATGAGTTCGAAGCCAGCCCGGGTCGGAGTGAGCTTCCGACCAATTTGTGTTGCTTGCTGTTGACCTTTGCAGCCAGAAAGACAGTTGCATCTGTCGAGTAGGAAATTTAGGTACCACTTATGCAAGGAGGCTAATTTATGACACCATAAAAATCTCCAGCAAGTATGCAAAGAATGAGGAAGTACTTCATCAGTGTCACAAATGGACGGTGAAGCAACAGCTCCCTTGGTGGCCAGAATGTCCTCATCAAAAAAAGCTGGAATGTTAAATAGCCTCTGTGTGTCTGTCTATATATGTTGTGTGTCTATGGCATTGAATGTTTGCCATGTATATGTACATTGTAATCTGCCCTGAGTCCCCTGCAGGGTTAGAAGGGTGGAATATAAATACTGTAAATAAATAAAATAATGATAAAACAATGGCTGCTTGACTGGGACCAGACTGGGAAGAGTACTCTCATAAAATCTTTTTTCCTGCTATCTTGTGGTGGAAGAGGAAAGGCAGGAATCATTAGGTCAACAACCATAAGAAGACTAAAACATTTCAGTTACCAAACTTAGTAAGTCTAGTAGGATCCATCTTGACTTTGGGCTCATTCGTCCATTTCTATGGCTATGAGTGAGACAAAAGTACCAGAAAGAAGTTCACAGAAAGGTCTTAATATGATACTATCAAGGGCACCAACTGCAAATTGCAACAACACTGCTGAAACTTCTGAGATTCATAGGTATTGATGCCATTTTCACATGTAACCTAATGAACTGGGGAGAGGATTCTGAAGAACACTCACACCTAGCTTCTCCCTTTTATGTCATTGCTATTGAGAAATAATGCAAAAGAAACATGTTGGACTGGTTAGTTTGAAGCTGCTGGCAACATAAAGAATGCTTACTCAAAATAAAGGTTGTCTCCCATTCATTAGGAATTCTTATGTAGTAACATATTAACAATATCCCAAAAAAGTCAGATCAGCAACTTCATCAGATGCGTCACCGGAATTGCCATGCATTATGGTGAATCTGGCAGTGCCCATTGGGGGACATGAGGAACCCTTCGCCCATACCTCACATTGCATGACTCACCCTAGTCCCCATCCCACAAGGGGAAGCATCCGCTTCCCCCCATTGACTTCTATTCAACATGGAAAATCTCTCGTATTGCCACCATGGCAGCATGTGACAGTTCGCCAATACTTTTATGACTGAACCCCGCCAGAAGTTGCTCTACATCGTGGGATGAGAGCCAGTGGGCTCTGTCATAAAGGTATTGGCAATCAGCGCATGCTGCTGAAAAAGACCTCATGTGATGAGGTCATTAGATGCACATTACAGGATCCAACACCATTTTATCCATCTTTAGAGTAGAAAGTGCACTTCCAGAGTAGAGTAGTCCTATTCCGTTCTTCTAGTTACAACTTATCCAGCACTAGGAGGACATTTTTGAGATAAAATTTGTTGAGATCTTGCAAAAGACCTTGAACACACACCAGTCCTGAAAGAAAGCTATTCACCCAATATTTGAATAGTTATTAAATTATGAATTCATCTAGAGTTTTAATATGCTTATACCCATAACTCCCATTTGGCTGAAGTCAATCATTAATGATGAATTTTTCTGAATTCATAGTACAGCAACTCAATAACCAAATCTTGTTCAAGCACTTTCTCATTGCAACCAGAATCACATACAGTGGGTTCCTGGCAGGTCATTTTCCTTTTCTAGACTCCCATCTTCTAGTTCTCTGCTTGTACAATTAATCCCTAATTCTCCCAAAATGTCTTTCAAGCAATTTTCCTAAGATGCAGTTGTCAACCATGAAATTATATACCTATCTCTCTTTTTTCTTACTTTCTTTGCCCTAACTACTATTGCTATTGGGACTTCCATAACTTATCTCCTACTTCGATTAATATTTGATTATTTTGTTCACCATTTCTCTTATCTCTATCAATGTGTTAAAATTCTGATGAAAAGTGTAGAGAAGTCTATAAACCCTGTGGTTATTGTTACAGATCTACTGAAAACAGAGAACACAGATATTGTAGCTCAAGTAAATGAACCACGGTTGAGAACAAGGAATATTCCTTACCTAGACGTGCTGTGACCAGTGGTATGAGAGCCCAGATGCATAAGAGGGATGTCATGATTAGGGCCATCTCCTCTCTGAAATAGTTAGACAGACAGGTGTGTTGTATTTATAAATCACATCTAGCCACTCCTTCATCTCACAATCACACATTTCTGATGTCTGGCAGGTCACCAGGGATGCAATAACCTTTAAGGTGTATTGCTTGACTGTTCCTTTGTTAGGCAAAATAGTCAGGTGATGTTTCATCTGTGTGAAATAATGGCTAAGAGATGCTTTCCTGCTAGGTAGTAAATCTAGCTTCATCTATGAATGAGATACCCAGGTAAAGTTCAAGAATTTGATTCCTCTAGATCAGAGAAGAGACAACAGATGTATGAGTGGGAGGAAGAAGAATTCAAAATTTTGCAATAAGGAGAGGTGGAGTTTTTGGGTGGAGCTCTCTGAAACGGGGCAATACAATCCTACCAAAGGATCATCTACATTCTAGGAGTGCCTCTTTAGTTTCATCTATGTTTGTTAGACTAGTATATTTACATTACCAAAACAACTTCGATGTCAAGTGCTCTCTCAATTGCTCTGTCCCTAAAAATTGTTACCAGTTGGAATTTGTGATCTACCTGCATAACAATGTTTAGTAACAGAGCAATTGAGAGAGCACTTGACATCTCAGTAACATGGATAGTACTATGCATCCACTTTAACTTTCATGGGTCTATCACAGGCATGGGCAAACTTCAGCCCTCTAGGTGTTTTGGACTTCAACTCCCATAATTCCTAACAGCCAACTGGCTGTTAGGAATAATGGGAGTTGAAGTCCAAAACACCAGGAGGGCTGAAGTTTGCCCATGCCTGGTCTATCATATGGAAGGTTGGCATTTTTCATTTAGGAGAGTAAATGTATAGATTTAGCCTCACATATGTAAACCCAGTTTGCATATATTGTATTAATAGACTTACGGGGCTAAAAATTATATGCTGGTTGACTTTTTGAACCTTCTGATATGCATGAACTTTGAACAGAGCAATCATTGTTACCTAATTACAATGATGCTTCAAATCACATGGTTACATCTCATGCTTTAAGGATGCACTGTTGTTTTCCATTGTTTTCATTGTTGCTGATTTTTATAGTTGCTAATTTGAAGAGATCCATGGAGGTGACACCATAGGTTACCACACTAGGTGACAGCAACCCTAGTAACACCATTGCATAGAATGGCAGTTAATGTAGAAATATAGTTGTATAATTCTGAAGTGTGATAGGGTCCAAATCCTTTAATAACTAACATTCTATGCCCATTTCTCATATTTACCCCTTTTCTCTCTTTTTTTGTTGTAAAATGTGAGGTTCTTCCAGTCATATTGGTGCTTATCCCTTCTGCATCATTAGTATTATGGTTGGGGGAGGCATGATTTCACAAAACTAGTTACACCTTGTAATTTATCATGGGAAAAGGAGTCTACAAATAGTCTTGAGAACTACACACAGTCAGTAGACTGCACACACTTTGACAACCTCTGTTTTGAACAAACACATTTCTCATAAATAGAAAATTAAAGCAAGGAAAGGGCTGATCCAAAATAGTTCCTTTTGTTCGTCTTTTTTAACTGGTTAAGAAATATTGTTTAATGTTCTTGCCTTGTTTTTAAATGCTGTTGATGCTATTGTTTTCCCATATTGCTCACATGCTGAAACAATTCTGGGATCTTGCTATTTTCCTTGTGGGGTATACATGGGGGTAGACTCCTTTTTTCCCAATTTTTGATTTTTCATAGGGTTGGAAGAGGCCGCCCCCCCCCCTTCCAGGACCGCTCAGTCCACCCCCATTGTGCCATGCAAGAATGCACAATCAAAGCACTGCCAATGGATGGCCACCTATTCCTTCATCATACAGGGTTTTTCCCATCGTAGGTTGCTGCCGAGATGCAACCAAGACAGAGCCCATCAGAGCCCATCACATGACACAGGGCTACTTCCAGTGGGGCTCCATTCTGGCTCCGTCCTGGCAGTATGGTCAGAGACAGTCCTGAGAACACAGGTGACTGCCCCTGCTCTCATTTACTTAGCTGGGGACAGCATGGGATGAAACCAGGGACAGTTGTGTGATGGTAAGGGGATGAAGCGGCATCCTGCTACCACATGGATTCCCCCCACTGCCCCATGGATTCCCTCGCTGTGCTCTGGCTTATGGACTTCCATCTGATGAGGTCCTTAGACTCTGCTTAAAAACCTCCAAAGAAAGAGAATCCATCACACTCCTAAGAGCTGAGGTTATGTTAAGTGACTTGTTCAGCTCACCATTTTAAAAATCCTTCCTTTGTATTATAAGTATACATTAGAAGAAAGCAGGTTGTGGAGCCTGATACAGTTCTTGTAGGACAGTAATCATGGGGAGGCACTGTTTCATACATCGGTTGTCCATTTATGCATGTGTTCTTCTTTTGGGTGTAACTATTAACTTGTTTCATTTTCTTCTTGAGTATATAAATGAATTCCACATACACAGTTGTGAAAGACTATGTTGAAGCCTGGCACCATTTTTTGCAGGGATGCTGAACAGTTATGCATCATAATTTCTTGGGAACATCACTGCTTGAGAATGATAAATTCATCATTTTTGGTTCCTCACATATACTGACTGCATCTTGTTCAGCATTTACATGATGCAATCCAGACTTAGAAGATGATAAATATATATGAATATCCAAAAACATGTCTTTTGCTAGAGGAACATTAATGAGTGAATTTTCTTGGATTTCTACTCCACTTATTTGAGAGGAGGCAGCTTGGAAAATAGTTTTTCAAAAAGAGCCATGCGAGAGAGGCAAGAGGAGAAAATTGCAAAAGATACATTTATTCCAAGCTTTAAAAAAATAATTGACATGGGAAGGCTATAGATCTGCTTGGTTCAGTTTCTTAGTCTTCTTTTTTGGTAACATCCTGGGTGCTCACATCCAGGAACAAGTAGTTGGCTAGTCTAATTGGCTAGTGTTTTGAACATAAGGACCGTGGGGAAACAAGGTCAGTAAGTGTACATCAGGAATGGAGTACATGTGGCCTTCCAAATATGGTTGGACTACAATTCCCATCAGCCCTAGCCAGTATAGTCAATGGGGGGAGGGGGTCATACAGTCCAACTGCATCTTGATTGCCACATGGTCCCCATTCTAGGATTAAATGGGCCAAGAGAAGATCATGAAGACTAAGGGTGATGGTTTTGTATCACAAACCACATAGAATGTTGCCCTTCTAGTCTTATGAGCCCATCAGTACTTGCTGGGAAGGAAGGAAGAGTTTATATCAGCCAGATGTGAGGATAAGCCATTATGCCTTGGCATTTCACAATGATAGTAACACCTTCGTGATCAAACCATGGATTGCTCTGGTCAAAGAATATGCCTAAATTTCACCTCAAGGTAACTCAGTAACCTCCTCTGAGCTATAGGTCTGGTTCATGCTTGGCTACAGGACTTCCACCAAATATCAGTTGCTGTAGGTTATGTTTTGGAGGAAGGAACTGGAAAAACCAGCTGTGAGTATTCCTTGCCTAAGTAAACCTTATAAAATTCAATAGCACACCATAAACGACATGAAGGCACATGCAAACCCTAATGAAGGAAGTTCTGATTTTATGAGAGGAGGGATTTCAACAACACCAATGTCATGCTCCAATCATTTCATCATGCAGTTTTATTTAATATGAGTAGAACATTATTGTAGCATAGAGGAGGGTGGTCCATGAGATCTATGAAATCTGAATAAACAATCAACAATCAACCAGTACATTCTGCAATGGTCCACTTGAATTACCCTTGTGGGCTTTCTGTTGTCTGTAGACTCCTAGGCTCTAACAGTGAAATGCCTTAATATATCCTGATCTAACACTGCTGATCTAAACGTACAGTGATGTGCCTTAACATGTCCCTAGCTGTCCTAAAGTGGAAATTCCATACTAAATAGTTTGCAATGTTCCTTGTCTCAGAACAGACTTTTGCACACGTAAGCAGCTCTAATCCACAATACCTGGAAGGAGATTTCATAGATAAACATGGAGAAATGGCTTACGTGTCTGAACTCTACATTCCCATTTTTCTCATTGAGTAATATCTCTCCTGAAGTCATACAGATGCTATTGTGTGTTTCAACTGAAACAATTGCTTTTTCCTCAGCATCATGCATAGCTCAACTTCTGTCTTGGTGATCTTGGATTGCACATACCATACCACAGATAGTGTAATACTTTGAATTCATGAAAACCCATTGGATAACCATGGGCAAATCATGCACTCAAAATAGACAATGGCAACCCCCCTCTGAGCAAGAAACCACAATGGAAAGAAGTCACTTTGTGGTTATACAACAATAGTAACGACAACAAATTACAGATAAAAAACAGTGGGATGTTCAAGGACACAAAGCTCAATTTATCATTACCTAATAGGGTAAAAACAGATTGTTGCTTTTATCAACATTCTTTGTGCATGTTGGCTGAGAATGGTGGGGGCTGTTGTTCTCCACATGAGGAGCACTTTATTTGTGAAAGCTGGTCAATTGCAGGTACAGATAGCCCTCCACATTTGCAGATTTACCTTTTACAGATTTAATTATTCACATATTTGATTGAAATTTCTCTCTAGGAATCTCTACATCCTTCTGTGTGATTCAGTGAAAAGTTGAGCGTAGAGTTGTGCTGGAGAACCCAGAGATTCCTAAGGATATGGGGTTTTTTTTTTCATTTTTCACTTTTGTGGGGGTCTTGAGCTCCTAACTCCAGTGTATGTGGAGGCCTGGCTGTAGTTAACTGTGGGAGAACAATATGCCACATCCCCACCTGGATTTCCATTTCTTGGATCAGCACAGAAGCCACTTCATATCAGTATCAGCATTCGCCGTGAGGGAACACCAGCGCATTCTGTCATTTTGACCAGCTCTGGTGCAATTGTGGTACGATTTGCCACGAAAAACAAAGGGGAAGACACAGTCCATTTCTAATTGGGGGGAAAAAAGAAGCAAATAGGAATGAAGAAATGTAGAGTCTCTTTTGTAAAGAGATAACAAGAGATACAAATTATTATTATTATTTGAAACACAAGAAGATGAGCCCACAGCAGACAAGATCACTCTGCTGGCTGCT